GAATTTTTTACAATTTCTTAAATAATATTTACTAACTTCATAACCCACCTCCTCTAATATATCCTTTATTTCCTCGTTTGTGAATCCTAATTTTTTAACGTTGTTAGTTTTGACGCTCATTTCATACAAAATAAAAAAATAAAATAATAAACATAACTAAGTTTTAATTTTTCGTAAGACATGAATTTTTAAAGTTTATTTTTTTTTATTTTTTTTTTAGATTTGAATCTTTCATAAATTCAAATAATCATTAGCTTCTAATTTTTTTACCGTTTATGAGGTCTTTGATTATGACTCCGTTGATTCCATTCAGGATTTAAACAATGTTTAATTAATCGCGGAATATCTGACATCATCTATATATATATAGCTTCTTTTATAAAAGATGAAATATATTTCATTATGTATGGGCTGAGTGTAAATGTCTTACAATTTTGAAAATTTTTTAAATCTTGATTTATTCAAAAACGTAAGAATAAAAACCGTAAGAATCATACATTTTTTACTTCATATGTTAAAAAAAATGATACAAAATCGTTCAATATTGTATGAATTCTTACGTTTACAAAAAAAGTCACACAACCCGCTCTCATATACTACTCAAAAAATATCATTTGCTCGATTCCATTTTTGGAATAAATTTACTGGAACAATGTTAAATTAAAACAGTTGCTTAATTTTTCTTCATTGTTTTCATAAAAAAGTAACAAGTTTGCAACTGAAATTTCAAAATTTTGATAATTGCCAGTTATTTCAGTAAATATATATATTTGCTTTTCTTCATCTAAAAATGGCAAATATTGATTTGCAATATTAACTAAAGTTTGGGATAAATTGTTCCAGTTTGATTTTACAATTTGTGAGCACATTATGTAATATGTAAATTTATCCGCTTTGTAGGAATTTAAAATTGTTTGTTGTTCTGTTTCAGTTAAATTACTGAATTTTTCAAGATTAATATTGTGATAAAAAATAGAATCCTTGAAACATTCTGATATCTTTTCAATGTTTAAAACGGATGCTAAAAAATGTAAAAGAACTTCATCAGTCACTGTGATTTTTTTGAAAAATTTATCCCAATTCAAGCATCCAATTGATCTTTCTGTCATTGTACTTATGCATTGATAAAGTTGATTTAATGAATCCGAAGAATAATCATTATGCTTGACTAGTTGAGTTAGTTGATACAGACTGTCGTCAGCCATTTTAAAAAAATGAATAAAATTGTATAGTAAATTATATTTGTGAAATTTGTGACGCTACATTCAATCTAAGACCAATATCTCAAAGAATTCCTCATTTAAGTATTACTTTTCATTGTTTTTTAAAAAATATCTTTGCTTATTTGTTCACTTTTTTGACATTTATTATATGCTTTTTATCATATTTCCAATGATATGAATATATATTCTATATAAGAATGACGCTACATTCAATCTAAGACCAATATCTCAAAGAATTCCTCATTTAAGTATTACTTTTCATTTTTGATTCAATTTTCGAACGGTTTTCGTAAATTTTGCATCATTTCATTTTTTAATGGGAAAATCATCTATATTTAATCAAAAAAGAGCAAACTTTACAGACGAAAATAAAATATTTATCAGGGAACAATCTGATAAATACCAAAAATCAACATCGAGAGATGAAAAAACGAATATAATCAAACAAGTTCTTCAATATTTTAATATTAAATACGCCGAAAATGAATCTAAAGCTGTCAGAAGATATTTTAGTTATATTGCAGTTAAAAATATTCCCGCAGTTACTGGAAAATATCCTGATACAATTGTTCGCAAAGATATGCTTTATTCGCATGATCATACAAATATTATTAATTCAAATAATATTGAACGTTACTACCGTTGCATCGATCATTCTTGTCAAGCACGTTATTTAGTTAAAATTGAGAACAGTTCAGTTTCCGAAGATTTACAAAAGGAACATATACCCGAATGCAGACAATTTAAAAAGTTACAAAATGAAAAAAATGATCTTCATAAATCAATGACTCTGACAGAAATATACAATAAGGCAATGGCAAAATTTTCTGAAGACAACGGCACTTTTCAGCAGATTAAAAAATTTATGACAGAACTTGCTGTTGGTACTGATGAAAACCCATTAATTAAAGATTCATTGGTCAGGGAAGTTTATAATAAGTCCAGAAAATTTTCTGTTGGAGAAAAAATTACAGACGATGAAATTGCTAATTTTTGTTTAATAAATGGCGAGCAGTTTTTCATTGGCCATGATTTTCAAGCAAATTGTGAGACGATGTTTTTTGGTTTTGAGAAGGCAATTCAATTTGCAAAAGAAGCCACAGATTTATTTTGCGATGGAACTTTTAAAATTACACCAAAACATTTTCAAAAAGGACAGATGCTAACAATTATGATTTGTGAACCTTCAACAAATCAATATCTACCACTTTTATTTATATTCATGAAAAACCGCACATTTGAATCTTATAAGAAGGCATTTGAATATATTTTTACTGTCAAGGGTATTCAATTTTCAAAGCTAATTCAAATTCATTGTGATTTTGAAAAGGGAATGATAGAGGCACTTCAACAAATTTTCCCTAAAGTCCGTATAATTGGATGCCTATTTCATTTCAAACAAGCTTTACACAGGAAACTTGTAGCACTTTATACAAAAAATTTCAATACTTTACAAAATTCTTTATTTAAGCTATATTCTATTACTCCATTCATGTCTCATGAAGAATTTGTACTTACAATGCATATAATTAATCAAAATAAAGTTGATTCGATCAAAGATTATATTGATTATTTCAACAAAGTTTGGTTGCCGCACTACAATTTAATATCTCAATATAATAATGCAACTGCAATATTCACTAATGATTGCCTCGAGAGTATGCATTCAGAATTTTCTTCGTTAAAACATCCAAACATTTATGAAGCTATTAAGAAGATATCTCAAATCCAATTAGATAAATATAACGCCATCAAAAATAACCAGAAGATCGAGCGCCATATAAAAACCGTTATCACTGATAGCTACAAAAATTATATTCTTGACTGCTTTCAAAAAGAACTTGAGAAAACAATTTTTTCTATCAAACAATACAACGTAAGTGATCTTTCTTTGGCTCAGAACGAGATTTCTCCATATGGTTCCATAGAATCGAGTTCATTGTTCGAAAATATTCCAGTTCATGATGCAGATATACTCAAATCGATCGATCTAACAGATAAAGATACAATGATCACTAAGTTTATTAATGAAAAAAGAGAAAAAATTATGGCATTATTTAATGAAACATTAAATCATCCAGATTTTAATTCATCCACTCCAATTCAAACTAATTTTGAGCAAGCCGATACAAATCAAGGTTCAGATGCTCCAATTCGCTCCGAAAATTCAAATATTGCAGACTCTACAGATTTAGAACCAGAAAATCAAAACCATCCTTCTACAAATCAAATGTCTAGTAATCTAGAACATAAGCTGGACCTTCTTGATCATATTGAAAAACAATTATCGAAAATGCGCTCGTTATTGGGAATTCTTCCTACTACAAATGCTATTGTTGGGCCGTCAAAACAAGTTTCAGTTAATAGCAAGCAAAATTCTGAAAAAAATAAGAAAAAATCTTCCATAACAACAAAATCAAACAATAAAAAACAAAATTCATCCGACAATCCTCCTAAACGTAAAGCTCCTATTTCGGAAAGGATTCTCAGCGATAATAACTTATATTTTCAAGTTCATCGAAAGAGATCGAAAAGCAAACGTTCCACATCTACAGAGAAAAAGAATTGATATATGAAGTCTAATTCCTTTTATAACTACTATATTTTTATTCTTATGACTAAAAAATAATATATTATTTAACAATTTTCATTTTTTTCTTTTAACAATTTCGTTTTATTTCCATTTATTGTTAAATGATTTTTAGCATACACCTTTCTTTGTTCATCTTCTAAATACAATTTATTTTTTCTTAGATATAATTCTATTCATTCAATTCGATCGTCATTTTTCAGTACATGATCGTAATTTTCAATTATTGATCGCGATTTTACTTCAGAATTTGTTCGCAATATTGCTTATCAAAATTATATCTCTATTCTCTCATTTCTGTTTAGTCAATATCATTACACTCCTATTGTCTAATAACATGCTATTAATTTTCTTAAAATTAAAAAAAAAAATATCAACTTTTAAAAACAGAAACTTAACATCCTTAGGTCAATGGATTTTGATGTGAGATACATTTAATCTGTTTTTCTTTTTTTATTTTAAATAATTGAATATTTATAGTTGTTATGGGTCTTACATCATGTAAAACGAATTTTCTTAAAGTAAATTTACTTTTTCTTCAATCTTTCTTACATATTTATTAAAAAAAAAAATTATCCAAAAAAAGATGTTTTAGAATGAAAAAAAATAGAAAAATCTTCATTTATAGTCTTTCTTGAATGTATACGTTTTGATTTTTTTCTTTTTTAAAAAATTCAATTTCTAGAAAAATCGAGAAAAAATCATTTTCTTCTATTTTTTAGGACGCCATACCCATTGAAATCTCCTCTCAGGACGCCATAAACTATTCAATTATGGTGTAAACTTCTCAAAAATTGAATAGTTTACATCAGGACGCCTTAGGACGCCAACCCTTTACGCGCCCCTGTATTCTCATCTTATCATAGGATTTACGGCTGTTTATACTCAAATATCAAAAATATTACTAAGATGAAATATATCCTAACAATTGTTTTAGGTTTTATATCGTTGACAATGACGAATTATCCAGTTTACAATAGTTTTTCACCCTTGAAAGCCAGAAGTTGTTCAGAAAGTATTAAGTATCTTATAAATGCTTAACTTATATTCTGAAAATGGGGTATAATCGTTAGAAAATCAATTTTCAAAATATGTACAAATATTTAACGAAAACAATAAATAGAATGTTTTATTATATCACACAATAGATAAAAATACAAATAATATCTAATAATATTTTGGATATTTCATTCAGCCCATTTTGATGAGTAAAAACAATTTTCTATGAGAGGACTGAAGTCAAAACCTAATCTTCCAAACGATGATGCAAATGTAAAAGCATTTAGAACCATTTCTTTCGCATCATCGACTTTTGTAACTTTTTCTAAGGATCTTTTTAGTGCTTTACAGTACTTTTCGCATTCTTTTTGTATGACCAAGTGAAGTGTCATATCGTCTTCTGCATCTTCTGAAGCTAAAATCGCTTTATACGTTGTAGAAATTTCGTAAAGAGCTGATCTGAAATTATTCGTCAGTTCTTGCATGTATTTGTTCGGATCTTCCTTAGATATGTGCTTTATTTTCTGATGAAGAGCCATTCTACGTCCATTTATAAAAGCTAATCTAATTTCGGCTTCGCTATGGACTTTTGCAGTACGGAGAAGGTTGACATTAGATATGGCATCTTCTAATTTGAGGTCTCCTGAGAAAGTATTAAGTAATGATTGAGTTACCTCGTTTTTAACGTTGTTTGCTTCTTCTAATGTGCTTTTTAACGATGTAGTGTTAGGGTGCTGTCTTGTAAATTGCTCCAATATGTTGTAAACTTGAAGAGCTTCGTCATAAAGATTAGAAATTCTGCAAGTTCTCATTAATTGTGGTGCAATTAAAATATCAGATATTTCTGATTGTTTGAGAAACGCAGATGATATTTTGGCCATCGATTCGCGTGTTGAATTTGCTAATAAACACAAATCTTTGCATAAATTATTTGCTTTCGCTAAATCAGAACTTAAGTCTCCAATATTTTTGGTGCAGCTCTCTAAATCATCGGTAATTGTTGAAGCATCAATACAAGTTTTAATAAAAAAATCATAATTTCGAGCCATGCTTTCATCAAACTGGCTTTGCAAAGCTGCTATAGAATTCTCAAGACGAGTCGGCTCTTTAAGAAGCATTTGCAAATCCATTGATGTAAATTCAGGTCCATCCATTATTTTTTGCCACTTTTTATCTTTCTTATTCTCAAATAGAGAGAAACTTGTACTTATTGGGTACATTTTCAATGCAGACATCTTGCATTACAGCTGAAGTGTCTCAACATTCTAGTAGTTCCAAAACTCATTCAATACTTTCTGAAAGAATATTTTCGTTTGACTGAAATGATTTGTTCACACATACCCACTGTATCTATCTTTTCAATCCCAAACAATTCTGCACTACTCCATCTCTATTATTGTCATTTTATTGTATAAACTGTCTTTATATAGATAAATTAGCAATCAACTTTCTAATTTCCTTCCTTCATTAGATACATCTTGTTTGTGGTTTCAATTACAAGTCATTTTGATAAAAAAATGAAAATGAAAAATTTAATTTTTGAACATTTGATCATATATCATAATTGAATCGTTTTGCTACTTCGAGTAAACTAGAACATATAACTCAAATAGGATATCTATATTTATTGAGAAATATTTTTGCCACGTAAATCAAAATTTACAAATATCAAATTAGACAAAAGACGATAAAAATGGTCTCTTAGTCTGTATGAGTCATGTCTCGCTGTCGTCGGCCAGAATGTTACAATGCAGATATAAATGCTCTCTGGGTAGTGTGAATGTGGGCAACCATTGGATCTCTACTTGGGAGCTACATTTTCCATTTTTTAACGTTATTTTTTGAGTATGATAAAATAATACTTGATATGAGTTTGCTGATTAACATATAATTTTATTATATTGTTCGGACCATTACAAGCTCATAATTTTTTGTCCACATTTACCAAAATAATTTAATTTTTTAAAATACAATACATAATCTTTATTTTGAGGGGATATTTCAATCGGAACTTGTATCGCGAACTGATACAGCCATTCCGAGCGAGTACAATTTCTGGAAATGGTCAGCAAATGAGGAAATAATAATTGAATACTTTTCGTTAACATCTTTTTGGAACACTGATCCAACAGATCCTTTTGTATTCATTACAGCGGACACCTTGGAGCTCATAAAAGCTCTTTGGAATCCGAAAAGTATATCTGTTTGAAGTGTTGAAGGATTAAACTGTAAAACAGCACTAGAAACGGTTTTGTCGGATGGATGGTGTGTTCCTACAAAAGAAATCGTTAAGTTTTGAGATTTTGAGAGAATTGTACTTAAATTCAATTGATTGGCCTTAATTGAGCCAATTAAACTATATTCTGTGTTTCCTTTGGATGAAATGGCTCCATTGAAACCAACGCAGAATTTTTTTGGAACTCCTGAAGCAATCTTGAAGTTATACAGAGCAGTCTTGAAGGAATCAGCTACTGAGTAATTGAATGATAAGTTTGTGTATGGATTAAAATGATTGAGAGTGAAACTCATTTTCATTTTTTTCTCGAGAGTTGTACTAACTGCCAAATTTAGTGAATCAATAATTGGCATTGTAGCAGAGAATAAAATAGGAGAATCTCTTGATACATCTATTGAAATAGGAAATCCAATTTTATCTGTTGTGAAATTTACTGCAGCATTACCTGGAAGACGTTGCTCACCGGCTTGATCGGCATATTTAAGTGGATATAATCTAGGCTTGATTGATAATACTGAAATAAGATTTCCAATATCTTTTAATTTCTTAGCGACAACAATTTCAAAGGTATTATTTGGTGGAAGAGAAGTAGGCCCTACAATTTCCGATTCAAATGCTTCGAATTCTGGACATTTTGTTTGTTTTGGATCAAAAATCATCAAAATCTAAAATAAAAAATGATAACTTATTAGGACAAAAAGAACAAACATTAAACATAGATCTAAATCATAATATTAAAATCTAAAAATGCATTTTTTGTTAGTGTTCCTCCCCCTTTGTTTTTTTGAACAAAATTTTTGCATGAGTTATTATTCGTCTATTGATATTCGATATTTAGAAGATACGCATTTCAATAACGAGCGAATATTTGATTTCCTTGATACCAATATTCCATTATGTTCTCTTCATCAAACGAAAACTGTTGTTACTGTTTTCTATTTTATCTCATTGGCCATAATTTATTTGATGTGGCCTCAAGTTTTCAAAGAATCTTCACCACTAGAGCTTGCAGTCGTGTTCTTCCCTATCATTTTTACAGCTTCAATACATGTTTTGATGACCACTTTTTATATTGTCTTCGCCAAATTCGAAGAAGCATCTTTCAAGACATGCATTAGCTTCATTTACAATTATCATAGCCTTTATCCATTAATAGAACTTGTAGGATGTGGAATTATCCACTTTGGAGGAAATGATCTAAATCTCTTCTGGATTTCTTCATTTTCTACAGCATCATTAGCTTTTGATATCATGTTTGGACTTTACGCTGCTCGATCCCACAAAATTACATTAATTTTCCAATGCGTGGCCTTATTCCCTTGTTCTGTTCTCGTTCTCTTGTATTCAGTCAAATTAGTACCAGTATGGTCCGTTTACATTCCTTTCTTTGCTTACGGCATCATATATCTTACAATTCTTTTATCTTTATTAAAATGCAACAAAACATGCAGTACGAGGACTGTTTCCTTTTTGGCCGACCCAGAGATCAAAGCTGAGTTTATAGCGTCCGATGATTACGAAAGCTTCTGGAATGCGGCTTATTGGAGAGATAACACTCAGGTTCGCAGGAGAAGCGAAAGCGATGACAGTTCCAGCTCCGATGAAATGTCCAGTTCAAGGACCGCACCAGATACAACCGCTCTTATTAACATACAAAACAAAAAAGAACAAAAATTCCCGAAGAAGGAGAATTTCCAACTTTACAAGCTAGATACGATGATAGAAAAGCCAATATTCATTACATCATTGACAATCAACGTAGCTTTCATTGCTTTTGTCGCTGTGGCTTTTGTAAATTCTTTCAAAGTCATTCCTGGCTTCTATTACATCATCGGATGCTTCCCAATTGTTTTGTTGATTATTTCACTCCTTAACTCGCGTTCATTTGGCTACAACAGTTGCGTTATTACGAATATTAATAATGATCACGTTGAAATTCTATGGGATCACCCAAGTTTCTCATCAATTTTCTAATCAGATCGTTTATGTTTGTTTATATATTACATTAATAAAAATTTCTATCTATTTTAATAATTTTTTTTTTATTCGCTAAATTACAACATTTATTATCCATAAACATACAAATACTATCAATCTCATAACGATATATCAAAGTAAATTTGCTCTAACCAGATTATATTCAAGATATATCTTAACATTTTTTTTTAATTTTTCATATTCGCTTTTGACTGTTAGTTAATATATTTACCCATGTATTTCAAATCATGTGACGAATAAATGGTCAGTTTTATTTGAAATTCACTGAAATGAATTTGAAAGTCTCTTTGTTACACATTTTATATAAGATAATTATATTAATATGGAGCGAGATAAGCGAAATGTTTAGATCTAACAGATCGCAATCTTATTTTTTCTGCGATTATCAGATCGATTTTTTTACACCATTTTACATCTTTGACACTATACTCCATAAGTGAAAAGAATCATCATATTTAGGAGAATTCGATTTTAAATTTCCAAGATTTTTTTATGACAATCTTTTTTGCCGACGATAAAAATCTTTCTCGGATGAGCGATGGTGTCAGCAAAGAGCAGAAAGAATTGCTCATTTCGAAAGGAAAACAACTGAGAAAGTATGCAAAACGGGTTATATTTGATAAATGGTCGAAACGATTGCTGAAAGCAATGTTAAACAGGAAAAAATCAGATTTAGACAACGAAAATGAAACAAGAGATAAGAAAGATATCAATACAAATCGTCCAACAGATAATGAAAACAAAAATGATAGCATTGCGCAAAAGCAAAAACAAACGGATAATCAAGAAAATTGGAACCCAAAGAAAAAGCAATCAAATATCGAAAAAACGTCAATGAATGATACTATTAGACAAGTTGAAGCACGTCCAAAAAGAGCGCAATCGCCAAGTGTCAAGAGAAACAAAAAAGTTATATTTTATCGAAATATTTCAATAAATACTCATATTACGAGATACAAAGATACATCATCACAAACTAAATCATCTAGCAATCATTATTCTACAATGAATACTCAAACTTCTAAAATTTATTTAAATATCTCTCCAGCATTCGTATTTTCCAAAGAGAATGAAAAAGATACGCAAGATTATATGCAAGAATACGAAAAGGAATCGAGTTCAGATGATATTTTGAAGTTTAATGACGAAAATTCAAATTCTCATATTCCTACAACCATAAGAAAGAAGAATCAACAAACAGAGCCTAAAGAAAAACCAGAAAATAAGTCAATACTTACAGCAGATGCAGATAATCTCTTTACAATCGGTTCTGACGAAGATATTAATTTACCTCCCATAGAAGTTGCCGCTCCTGCATTAACTAGCCCAGAACAGAACAAAGGGCAATATTCTGTTGACAGTCCTAAGGGTTCTACAAAGAAAAAACCTAATTATTCCGTTGACAATGAATATGATTCATTTTCTAACTCGAATAATGAAGATTTGAACGAAGAAGACAATGAAGAATGGATATCTGATCCAGATTCCAATCAAAAACCATCAAATATCGAAGAAGATGTTAAAAATTCTGATGGTGAAATCGAAATTGACGACGAAGAGAAAGGAATTTCACTTAAAAAGTCAGCAAAGGTCCATTTCACCTTTAATACTAGCGAAACAGTTAACATAGCTCCTTCAGGAAGCAATTCTTCCTCTCCAATTGGATCTCCTTTGATGACGTCTTCTTCTTCTATGCCAACAATGAGAAGAAACCCAATTATCATGGTTAGAAGACCACAGTCCCCAAATTTCACTCAACTCGACTTCTCTCCAGCCTCTTCTTTATCAAGTGACTTTTCATCAGACCCTGAAGAAAAAAGTGACAACAAAAATTTTGAATTAATTTCGGCCAAAACCGAAAAACCAAAACCAAAAGAAGAGGTGAAAGAGGAGCCAAAAGACAAAGAAAAGGATAATGCTGATGTTCATGATAGCGAAATTCCAATTGAAATTTTATCTGACTCGTTAAGCGACGTTGATATAGATGATCTTGTTACCCCTACTCAGAACCATCCAACAAGCCCAACAAAGAATGGGGATGACCAAAATAAAGAGATAATTTCAGATGATAGCATTGATTCCACAGATAGCCAATATGATAGTGACGAAAACGTTGCTATCCCATTGCATGAAGAGCCCGTCCATAGTGGCTCTGATCCAACTTTTAATGATACTCAGATAATTACAAGTCCACCGTTAGATGAATTATTAGGAGATATCCCTGTTACTCCACCAAAGGAGGATAGCGAAATTAGAGCCTTCCTTAGGCAATTCTTTACTGCTGAAGTTTTCCAAAATTGCCAAAACAGAAAATCTCTCGGCCAATCGATCCCTCTTATTCATATTCCTGATACAGCACGTCGGCCATTCAAATATCCTCCGGATTATTTGGATTTAGTGATAGATCTCGTTAATGAAATCATAGAAACGGAAGATATCGTTGGAATGTTCTATGAACAGTTCCTTGACCACTTGGAGGCCATTCTTGGAGCAGAACCAATCGAAATGGAGCCAAATTATATAACAAGTCTTCACGCACAGTCTGAAATCGAATGCGATAATACAGGAATTGATATTCTTATGAGAATTGCTGATAGCATCTTAGAATCTCATACGGATTATGTTCTAGGTTATGTATGAATTTAATATTTTTATTGTTGTTTTTTTTTAATGTAAAATGTTTTTTGTAATGTTTTGTTTTATCAAATAATCTTTATTTATCAAATAATATCATTCAAATTTCGATCTCATACTGTAGTATTTAGGCTCTGAAATTCCTTTTTTCCGTAGTTATAATATTGTTCTTATTCAATATAAATATATTCAATGTGCTTACCAGTCTATACAAGTACATATTTCTATAGAGAGTTTCCTCTTAATCTCTTCGGATAGCAAGATATTGATGCTGAAATATTCGATGCCCATTCAAAATGAGAGAGAGAATTCATGTGGAGCTATAAGGAAGAAAATATTAAGTAAATCTTGATGCGTATGATGAATACAGATGAGTCTGATAAGCCAAATTATAGAGTATTATCTTAACTTTATATTATCTACATACAAATATGTGAAAGAATATTTGGTTCACTGTATCATTTCAATTTATTAAAATACCATTTGAAGATCCTTTTGTTATAGTAAAGTCTTTGATTTGTTAGATAAAACCAGGATGTAATTTTATGAAGAATTTCTGATTGCACATTCAGCCGTTATTCATATTTCACTGTAATTTATCAAATTTATTTTAGAAAAATTCGAATTTAATGAAACCATGATAATGATTAAACTATCTATTGCAAGGGTTTAATGATAATTTTACTTGAAACGCAAAATTTGAATTGAAAAATATTTTTTAGAAAAATTATTGGCCAATATGTGTATTAAATTTTAAACAATTTACTTTCTATGACAGGACTTTCATAATATATGTAATAATAAAAGGATGAAAAAATAAAATTTTCAATTTTTTGGTTTTTCTTGCTCTGGTTTTGGAGGTAATAAATTCAATTTCACAGGGCATGTATCCATAAGTCTTTTATACTTTGATTGAATATTTTCAAATTCTTTTAGCCAAGATTCTTCTTGTATTCTAGGAACATACTTCTTAGATAACTTTAATCCTTTATCATTAAACCATGACTTCAAATCATCAGCCATAGCTCTAATTAAACTTTCTTTTGGTAGAGTTGCAGCATTTGCCCAAATTAAATTAACATCTTTGATCCAATCTGGAAGGGATTCATAACGTCCTTGTTCCAGCTTTTCTTTAATCTTTGAAAAGTCCATTTGCTTGTCTGGTGGAAAAATTTTTGGATAATTTTGATCATCTACAAGCGGCTGAAAGAATGGCTGTGAAATAGGGCGCTCAGCAATTTCTTTCATTATATTATCGATGAATTTTTTTTGAAAATCAGGAAGTTTGAATGTTGTTTGCATTTTGTTGTCACTTTTTCATTTTCTTCTTTGAATCAATTTTTTTTCCCCTCATTCTGCTGATTCATAATTGTTTTACCATAGATTATTACTGTTTATATTTTGATTACATTATTAACACAGATGTACTCTAGTAACCAATAACTTCTAAATTCAATTCCGAATGAAATCAAAATTATTTTGGTTTGTATTGCTATTTAAAAACTCTGCACCATTAATTTCCGTTAAGAACACTCACATCCATATCATATCCATATGCAACCAAAGAATTTCCATTTTTTCCCCTCCCTTTTAACTTCGTTGGCATCTGCTAATAATAATAAACTTAAACATGTATAAAATATTTAATAATCTATTAAAAACTTTGAAATACTGGATTGCTTGTCTTATCTGGAGCATCTTTTTGAAAATAAAAATCAATGTATTAATCAAATATATATCCCTTTATGTATATTCAAAGAATCAATAGAATTAGTGTGATTGGCAAAAAAATCTTGAATAAAACAAGTTTTTTTTGATGAAAATTCTATTGTCATCGGCTTTTCATTGTTACTGCATCATTTCACATCTCTGGATTTAAGCAAAATTCATAAATTATATATGAAATCATTATGGTCATTGTTTTCCACATGTATTACACAGTATTTTTTCCTACCAATATGTTTAAGGGGTATTTGATATGGTAAAACGCAAATAAGACTTTATAAAAAATATTTAATGTCCGAACAAGACGTTTATCCAGACAAATACAACAAATTGCGAAGTAAATACAAATACTATATTGATTCATATCTTCCGCTGTATCAGTTGAAAACGGAAAAAGAAGAAGAATTAAAGTCTATTTACAAAATGATCAAAACAGAATTGATTGATTCCAAGAAATATCCAATCAAAACGATTATGGAAAACATTTTAAGTATCATTCCGTATAATAATCGCTATGCAAAATCATATTTATTTCTGGCCAAACTGTTATCTGATGAATATCATGTCAAAGAAGTCAACAACGTCATGTTTATTTCAAACTTCCTGTTTTATAAAGAATACGGAATCAAATTAGACAAGTCTACAGATTTCAAAGGAATTAAATCTGAAAATCTCAAAATTCATTCAGAAAATACAATTTACAGAGCAATTATGTATAATGACTTAGAAACATTCATTTCATTCACCGAAAGAGATGGATTTGATAAAAATCAAATACTTCAAAGCCAATTATATCCATATTCTAAGAAAGGATATTCATTACTTGAATTATGTTGTTACCATGGAGCAGTTGATCGTTTCAAGTTATTAAGATCGAAATTTAACTCAGAAATAACTCAAACATGTCTAGAATTTTCATTTTTAGGCAGAAATCAAGAGATCATGAGTGAATGTTTGAAATATCAAGAACCAGATAAATATTGTATGAGATATGCAATTATTTCACACAACATTGATTTTGTTACATTTTTGATGAATGAATACAATATAGAGATCGATTTAGAATACTGTGGAATTTACAATAATCTTGAATCCTTTTTAGTTCATTTCGATCAAACTAATGATATAAACAAATGCTTTGTTTATTCTCCGATTTTTAATATTCCATCCTTTTTGGAATTCTTCATTTCACATGGTGCGAATGTCAATGAAAAAAATGAAGATGGTCTAACCGCCCTTCATTTTGCAGCAATTTATAATAGTATAGAAATTACCGAAGTCCTTCTTTTACATGGAGCGAATATCAATGAAAAAAATAAAAAAGGAGAAACCGCCCTTCATAATGCAGCATGGAATCATCGTAGAGAAATTACATAATTTCTTATTTCACATGGAGCGAATATCAATGAAAAAAATGAAGATGGTCTAACCACCCTTCATTTTGCAGCGATTTATAATAGTATAGAAACTGCCGAAGTTCTTATTTCACATGGAGCGAATATCAATGAAAAAAATGAAGATGGTCTAACCGCCCTTCATTTTGCAGCGATTTATAATAGTATAGAAATTACCGAAGTTCTTATTTCTCATGGTGCCAAAAAATAATGCTCATGTATAAGATATTGTTCTTTATTTTTCTGCTACTTTCGAAAAAGAATTTCATTAGAAATAAAAAAATAATTAAGTTTTCCTCATTGATTCTATTCATTTCTCTAAATTTTTAGTTTTGTAAATCTTTGATGATTCTTTCAGACATCCAACAATCGACCATAACTTGTACCATATCGCTAAGATATTCCAAATAATTCTATTGAGATTTTTTGAGATTTGGATAAATTTCTGCAATACACCAAACCAATTAATTAGATTTTTTGATGAATGATTTTCCCCTTTGTATTCTCCTAATAAGGAAAGAAATTGGACTATAAAGCATTGCTTAGAATCTGCATTTCATAGTCTCCAATTTCTGTTCGAAAAATTATAGCACCTAAGATTTTGAAGGATAAGATGTAAAAAGCGGGAACACATACATCTCATCCTTCAATTCATTCCTTAAAGTCTCCAAAATTTTGGTTATTTGCATAGAATTAACCAAAATTTTGGAACATTTATTGTATCTTTGAAAGAGAAATAGGACTTTCAAAGAATAACATATAATTTTTCTTTAACGACATAATAAAAGTTGATCTTTCAAGATACCATTTTCTCAGTATTATTTTAAGTAAAATTTTGCATTGATTTTCACAAGAAGACTTATATTGGCATTCAATTAAAAAAATATGAATATTGATCTCTAATTTATGTTGTACATAGTTGTTGAGATTTAATTTACACTCTATTAGCTTACTAACTTCAATATTATATATCTTGCCATCTTTCGGTAATATGTATCTTTGCTGTTTAATTATATTTTCGCAATATCTTTTTTAATCATAAATTTGTAAAGAATATATAATTAACTTCGTAAGAAGTCCGATTTAATTTGTATTTAATTCTTTAAAAGACCATTTTTTGATAACAATTTGAAAATACCCTATCACGCACCCACCCACACATCCATCAAGCGCAATTCCATCACAGGAAAACCCCACTCCCTCCCACCTTTCCCAATAATCAATTTGTATGAGTGGGGTGGGAGGTATGGTAATCCAAAAAAATTGTTTCTTTCTGGTTCGATTGGATATTGAAGAAGTTGAGAGATCTTCCGTTCTCATAACTCATTGATAAATTGCCTCTTATAATCTCCTACATCTATTTTTAGGGTTGTTAAAAATATCAAAAATTAGCGTTTTGAAGACACCATGGTGTCTTATAATTTTCCCTTCCTTATTGGCGTGTAGAAATAAATGCGCCAATAGATTGAAGAAGAAGAATTGTTTTTCTCTTAATGAACTTTAATCCTTTTGATATAAGAATATTAAAAACATTAATATAATTTCGATCTCGGAAATTAAATTTCCAAATTTTTTGTCGATTTCGGAAATAACAGGATCCCGCATCCAACACGCAACAACAAAACACAAAACACACTTTTTGGTTCTTTCATTGTTTTAATCGTAATTTATGTAATACATGATTTGGATAAATTTTACAAAAATAGAACCTATATTATATTCTTTTCAAAGATTCTTGCAAATCATCAAAAATAATTGTATTTTAAAAAACGATCAAATTATCCTTTCATTATTTTAAACTTAAATTAGTTTTTATGATTGACTAAAGCAATCATATTTATTCATCATTAAATAAACAAAAAAATAATATTTGAGAGTTATTTCAAAAAAAACACATTGAATTTATTAATTTGTCTCAATTTCAGTATTATAAATTTTTATAATTTCAATATTTTGAAATACACTTTTTAATATTTCAATATTTATGATATTTCAATGTATTAACTGGTCTCAAATTGAGCTTCTCAAATATAAGTTGGCCTATTCAAATAATAAAATTAAATAATATTTAAAATAATAAATAAAAGTGATTGAGGTCATAACAAAACGGCTGTTTCAGTCATTAATTCTTAAAAATAAAAAGGGTAAAAACTAAATACAATGGGTAAAATTCAATAGTGTCTGTGCTATCGTTCAATTTGAAGGTGTCTTTTGAAACCGCAAGACACATTGAATTTTTGAATAGTGTATTATGGTTTGACAGACACCAATGAAAAAAATAAAATGATATTTATTTTAAATATATAAGATCCTTATATAAAATATAAATATTTTATCGTTTTATTTTCTTGTTTTAGAAATGTTTTTTATTGAAAAATCAATAAAACTAACTCCAAAATAAAATTTTTGATTTAAAGACACTATGATGACACCAGGCAAATCTTCCAAGACACCTATCGTCGGGAATCTAACAACCCTATCTATTTTCATTTGTTTCATGATATGAAAAAAGTGACAAAAGAATCAATTCGAAACTATCTCAACAACTTGTCATAGATGATTTGAAGAAGCGTGCTCAACAAAACAATATGCTTGGTTTTGATTATAATATAGTCAGAATTCCAGCATAAAATCGTATTCTAGTTCATTGAGAAGGAAATAAAATGATCAAATTCAAGAGATTGCTAAACTAAAGAATGTAATAAGATATTTTAGCACTAAATTGTAAAAATAGATATAGTTATTTACATTTCAATATAATATCAAAAAAAGTTTAGTAAAAAAAAAGAAATTCATGCAATAGATACTAATAAATAAATTAAGCAAAGTACTGAGAGGTTGTTTCGTCTGGGATAACTCTCTTTTCTTTTGGAACAGCGCTAAATGTGATAAATTGTTTTTCAAAGTTCTCGTTGATCTTCATAACAGAAGCGAGGTTACCTGCGCGGTACATGTAGTTAGGAGCAGACCATACAGTAACAAGCTGCTCTCCTTTGAAGTGCCATTGGTAACCATTGACTGCAAGTTGATGAGCGCGTACTATTAAGTCGATTTCGTTGTTGTGTGTAAATTCTTGGACTGGTCTGGAGCCAAAAAGCCAGCCAGCGCCTCTTTGATTCACTGCCCAGCACTCGATATCATCAGGATCACTCCAGGTAAGATCTGCAAGAGCTCCTGTACTTGGTAGTTCGTCCTGACGTTCGATTAGTGAGACTTGGTCAATTAATTTGATTTCTGGGCTAAGACCGCCATGAATTGCGAAAACTCTGTTAGCAATAACAGATCCGATTGGTAAAAGATCGAATACTTCATTGCAAAGACGCCAAATACCTGCATGACCATAAACATTGATGCATTCGTCGTAAAAACCGTAAAGTTGGTTAACCTGGCGGCATTCATGGTTGCCTCTAAGTAAATATATCTTCTCTGGATATTTGAGTTTAAGGCATGCTAAATATGTGAACGTTTCTAATGAATAATAACCGCGGTCTACGTAATCACCAAGGAATAAGTATCTGTTATTTTCTGGACCGCCTGATATTTCGAAAAGCTCGAATAAATCATAAAGCTGACCGTGAATATCTCCACAAATTGTGATTGGAAGTGGTAAAGGATGAACAGTGCCTTCTTGGTAAAGAACTTCCATTAATTTATTGAAGATCAATGTTATTTGGTCTTCAGTAAGCCTCTTACCACTTCGAATTGTCTCAAGATAAAGATCTAAATCCATATAACGATTTGGACGATAAAATATTTTTTTTGGCTCCAAATTACAATTTTTTTTTCCTTGATTCACTGTAATTTCGTGATTTCTATGACCATCATATACCAAAAAGCATAATTGTTAAAATTTACTCGGATGACACATTTATCAAATCAATCTTTTACAACTTTACAAATAATGTTTTGAAAAAAATAGTATGATCAAGACTAAAGTTCAAGAGCAACAACATAGCACTGAAATAGATTGAAGAGGCACTCCAATAACCCAAGAGATCTAAGTCTAAAAACCATATGTATTTTCTATATTTCATTTAAAAATATTCTGAAAATTACTAGCCATAAACAAGAACTGTGTTCTAGTCACATTGCTTATTTGAATTCATGAATTCATACTGATCTTTACGTTTTTATATATTTCACGAAAAATTATTGAGATTAAGGAAATGTTATATATAAAGAATGATATATTTGATATAAAAATATAAAAAAGCTAAATTGAAACAAAGTATATAAACATTTTATTCTATAATTTCGTAATTTTCATTATCTGAGCCGTATTTATCTTGATTCATGAGCATTTTGCGTGATTTACGCATTTTAGAAATCTCGGTGATTTGCTTATAGCTAATAGCTATGGTTTTGTTTGCAGGAATTTTATTTACGAGTTCGCTTTTCTGAATTCTATTGGCATTTCCTACCTGGAAGTAGTTGTGTAAAATGGTGTCGGGAGGGATCTGGAAATCCAAACCTTTGGCAGTTAAAATATGATTTTTAAATATGATGAATTCTAAAGCTTTTTGAGCTAAACGCGCTTGCTCTACATTGATAAAAACTGCAATATATGACTCTGAATTGTTGAATTTAACAGCAAGAAATGCTGATCCGCAAAGAACTGAAAAAAGATGCCATAAATCATCAGATGTACTTCCGTCCGGGATGTTTGATATAACAAGCACACTTGATTTTGTATAATCTTTCTGTGGACGTTGATTTGATAACATTTGTCAAATTTGTCACTTTTTTCTCTTTCATCATACAAAATTTCATGAAAATGTCAAAATCGATCATACAGAATGAAAACACATTTGGCAAATGATAACATTATTGAATTTGGTAAAGAAGATACCATAATTTTTAAATATTATCAAATAAAGTATATTGTAACAGAACTGTTCTCTAAATGATATAATTTATACATACAAAGAGTAATAAAAACACAATGTAATTATAATTTCAATAAAATTAAAAATTAACAGCATCCTTTTGATTTTCTGTTAAGATCTTGTGGACCCTTGAAGTCCGTAGTAAATTCGTGATCTCTGAACTTCGTACTCGCGATTGCATCAAACAAAGTGTCGATTGATTTTCTATCTTTTGCACTTGTTGAGAAAACACGTGCATTATGTTTTTCAGCCCATTTCTGAACTTCTTCCATATCAACAACGCATTCTAAGTCATTTTTATTTGCTGCGACGAAAATCTCGCATTCCTGGTTTTTATCGCGATTGACGAGCTCATACCATTCATCGAATGACTCAAATGACTTGGGGCTTGAAACATCAAGTACTATAACAGCAGCTGCAGCACCGCGAGAATAAATCGGAACTAAGCAACGGAATTGCTCTTGACCTGCTGTATCCCATAATTGTAATTTAACGGGCCCTTGTTGTCCAACAATTGTTTTTTCTATAAAAGAGCCACCAATTGTTGCTTTTGGCTCAGGATCGAATGTATTTGTATCGAGCTGAGTAAGAATACTTGTTTTGCCGACAGTCGAATTACCAAGCATAATGATTTTATACGAAGGAATCTGTGGATTCTCCACAAAATCCATTCTACTAAAATAAAAAGTGCCAAAATTTACAGAGCCAGAGATTAATTGACCCTTTACACGACAAAAAAAAGTTTTTCCGATTATCATATGAAATTTTTATATAAAAAGATATCATCATGGACTACTTCTAAATGAAACATAAAAGTTTCTCATTTAAAAAATGCCAAAATTAATATTAACAAAAAAGTCTGTTTGTTTCAGGAATTAATATTACCTTTCCAATATCCTAAAAGATCCCTTCTATATTTCATTTTAGAAAACTTTAAACTAATCAAAAACTCTAATATTAAATTGATTAGTTTAAGGGTACACTTACCACTTTCTGACATACTCTTCCAAAATCAATATAACTTTATTAGAATAGCAAAAACGCATAACACTCAAATTAGGCACTATATATTAATTTATAATAACTTTTTCTCGATGAAAAATATTAACTCCTAACCGTAGAAAATTGGGATATAAAGCTTGGATGTCAAAAATATTGAGAGAATGTCAGAAAGTTGTAGGTGCACCCTTAAAAATGATTTTAAAATTCAAAACGATTTTGGAGAGCTAGAAGCGAATAATATAAGTTAAACAAAATATTAAAGTCAATTTATTTTGTAGGCGTTCTTAATGGCGCTGTTAGCGGCTTAAGGGCTTTGGCAAATCAACTACAATGCACCCTTAAGATAACCCCATTTGATCAGACCAATTAATTAATAATCTTATATTGGAGTTCTATGACTTTTTTGATGAGACGAGTCTGAATTTTTTGGCTTTTTCTCCGATTTTTTATCTGATTCTTTAGATTTACCTTTGGTATCTTCTTTGTTCTTACTCTGTGTAGAGCTTTTTGATGAATCACTGTGCTTTGGAGATTTATCTGATTCTTTAGATTTACCTTTGGTATCTTCTTTGTTCTTACTCTGTGTAGAGCTTTTTGATGAATCACTGTGCTTTGGAGATTTATCTGATTCTTTAGATTTACCTTTGGTATCTTCTTTGTTCTTACTCTGTGTAGAGCTTTTTGATGAATCACTGTGCTTTGGAGATTTATCTGATTCTTTAGATTTACCTTTGGTATCTTCTTTGTTCTTACTCTGTGTAGAGCTTTTTGATGAATCACTGTGCTTTGGAGATTTATCTGATTCTTTAGATTTACCTTTGGTATCTTCTTTGTTCTTACTCTGTGTAGAGCTTTTTGATGAATCACTGTGCTTTGGAGATTTATCTGATTCTTTAGATTTACCTTTGGTATCTTCTTTGTTCTTACTCTGTGTAGAGCTTTTTGATGAATCACTGTGCTTTGGAGATTTATCTGATTCTTTAGATTTACCTTTGGTATCTTCTTTGTTCTTACTCTGTGTAGAACTTTTTGATGAATCACTGTGCTTTGGAGATTTATCTGATTCTTTAGATTTACCTTTGGTATCTTCTTTGTGCTTGTGGTGTTTATGGGGTTTTGGTGAACTATTTTGCGTTGAAGTTTTATCAGATTTAATAGAGTTAAACATTGCATTATGAATAAGATTATTCACTTCTTTATCATAAAATTTCAGACTTTTGTAATATGTGCAAGCGTTCTTTATTTCACCAGACGAAACTTCCTGATTTTTATTATCATCATAAGGATAATAACGTTTATTTTCTGGTGAAATGATAAGTTGAAAAAGAAGGGATTCCACTCTCAATTTTGAGTTTTAGCTCAAAATAAATGGAAATTTAGATTTGTCATATATTGAAGTTTCTAAATCCTCTTTTTATTTAAGCCAAATTTTCGAAAATTTTGTCAGAAAATTTTCTGACACTCTCACTTTTTTGAGATCTACGTATGACATTAAATAACTTTTTTATAAAAAAACGCAAAAATAATTCTGATCGAGCACGGTGGCAGACTCTGAAATATTTGTATTCCAATTCAAATTAATTTCGCGGAAAATTTGCAATTTTTAAAAAGAGTTTCAATTTTTCATTTTCTAAACATATTACGGAGATTCTAAATCGGCTAAAAGTAGTTATTTTTAATATTCATTGATATATATTTATATAAATTTCTAAAATTCACTTTTATTATATGAAATATTATTTTATCTGGAATGTATACTTACTAGTTTGTTAACGCCATAAATATACATAATACAAATATTTACTTTATTAAATCAACAATAATGCCGATTTTGGTTATAAATGAAAATGTATATCCTCATCAGAGAGATAATATCATATATGTAGTCAACAATCAATATTATCTTATCAATTATATTGAGATATGAGCTGGTATATGCACCATATTTCAATGCTATCTAACTCAATATCTTAATTTATTTGAAGCATTGAAGCTTTTATCTACATTTGCTATCTTAAAAATTTAAAAACAGATTTCATATTTTTTACCGATTGTAACAACTAATATTTTATATCTTTATGTAGAACTATCGTTAAAGACAAATTAGTGATATATTTGATTATAATAGTGTTAAAAATACATGTGAATAATCTTTTATACGAAAAATCATATTTATATTAAAAGATTATCAATTGATTTCTCCAAATATTAAGCATTATTGTGAAAGATAGATCAAACACATTGTAATACTGATAGTAGAGAATGTTTTATACTCTAAACACTAATAATATTATAATATCATCGAAATTAGAATATGATATCCATACAACTTTGCTTAATTCTCGATCCAATCACGGTTTCAGTTAGTCATACTAGTATTCATTATACCCTGCTTGCCCCATTGATTGTCACCAAAAATCCAGTGTGGAACCACTTCTGTTGAAAAATATTCACATCTTTACTATTATCATTTTGCCATTTGTGATAATATTTTGTAAAAACCTTTCTGTAAATATTTTCATATTCTGGATTTAATTTTTTGATTTCAATTTGGAGATTTTTCTCATCATCGTATTTTTCACCTAGCCAGTTCTTACAAATTACAATTCCTGGATAAATCATATTGGGAATAACATAGCCTACAAATTTGTGTTGTTTATAAGAAATGATTATTTCATAACATTAACGTTATTAGGTTCAACATCAATGACCTTGACATTTTTCAGAGAAGTTCTAAATTTGAGAACTCGCCTCTGGTCTTCGTCATGCTGGATTTGGTTTCCAATCCATATTGAGTACCCATTCAATTACATCTCTCAATGAATTTTTCGTGTCTCAATTTCTATCCATAGTAAGTTCAAAAGAGCAAACTAATTATAAACAATTAAGAGCTATTAAAATTAATGCTATTCATCATCTCAATTATAAAAAATCTAATAAAAAAAATCTAATAAAAAAAATTATAAGTTAAAAAGAGCAAACTAATTATATACAATTTAGAACTATTACAATGGCTGATATCCACCATCTCTATTGAAGATCTCAAGCATATCACTACGTAGATGAATCAAGCCAAGTGCTTCTCCAATGGCCAATGTAAAAACTGGAACTGGAGTGAGCAGTCTTGAGCCCATGATACTTATGAGCTCTCTTTTAGCTTTGTCGTAAACAGCTGTAGCGCCAAATTCGCGAGGTATCATAAACAAACCCATTTTGTTGACAATACCATCCTCAACGACAAATGTTTCGCCATCTGGTCTGATATGGAAGCAGAACCACCAGTTCCTTCTGACTTCCAAAGCGTAAATATGCATAAATTTTGAGGTACTTTCTCCGCCGACTAAGAAAATGAATTCGTCGGCTGATATGAGACATGTATTCATCAAATCTGTTGGTGGTTCGGAGCCTTTCGTTTCGATTCCGACAAATTTGTTTTGATCTGGATCGAAAACGAGGAGGCCATGCGTTTTACTTGATCCGTATACGTAGTGCTTGCCTTTGTGGAAGCAGTGAGCGGCTTGAGGTCTTCCTGATTCTTGAGATGGATATGAACTCCAAGTTTTCGTATGGAAATCGAGGCGATAGACAGTATCATCTGTTTGGCCATCGTATCCACCCCACAAGTAAAATGAATCGTTGCATGAAAAGAAAATAGGAAAGGCTCTTGGAGATGGACAATTCGGGAAATCAAATGGCCTGATATTGCCATCATCGATATTGATTGAGTGTAGATCGGCAAAGTATTGTCGGTCTCGAGATCCTCCGAAAACGAACAACTCTCTGCCCATTAAAATTGATGACGCACCTGTTCGTGGACCATAGGCCTCTCTACGGAGGTTTGTCCACTTCATTTCTTTGATGTCAAGTGCCCATACGTCGTTTAATGCATTTCCTTTCTCATCACAGCCATATGCGATGATTAAGCGATTATTTTCTTCATCAAGACAGTGACATTGGTCGACTCGAGCTATGGGACTAACCCCATCGGCATAAGCCATCGACCAGACACCATGATATGCTGTTTTGAGCAGTAAACTTGGGTGATTTTCATCTGGTTCTGTAGTACTTGCATTTCTCTTCGGTCCATTGTATGAATTAACTCTCTGCATAGCCATTGGAAAGTAAGATGAGTTATCTAGCATCTTTGGCTTGCTCATTTGCGAGCTTTGATCATTACCCATTTTTTAGTGTTTTCGCAAAATTTTGTGGGAGATAGAAATTTCATCGTTTTATTTGAATTTGGTAAATTTGTTGGTAATCATATGTGCATTCGAATTAAATAAAAATTATATAAAATTGTTTTCATGTGAACGTTTTTAATTTACATGACAATATTCACTTGATTCAAACCAAACGTATATTGAGAATTGTATAGTGAGTGTTCGCTATTTCTGAGTTTCTCTATGTTCCTAGGTGTTATTTCGGATATTTTGCTCATAGCATCATAGTGAAAATTTCAAAAATACAAGATAAATTTTTTCGAATTTTGAAAATATTGAAAATACATTACATAAAGTATGATGCTATGAAAAAGTTATTTGTTAATTCAAACAGAAAGAGATAAATTTTTTATTCTAAAATAATTTATTGGTTATATTCTGGTGGTTTTGGCATAAGGAATGTCAATCCCATAGCACAAAGGATACCTGCATTAACTGCAAATGAAATTATGAATCCAGCGAACTTTTTCTGTTCAGAATTTAATTCATCAGGATTTGAACCGTAAATTATCTGAACTGTGCCGAAATAACCATTGCTAATAGCAAATGGTATCATCCAGGCGAATGTCCACCATGGTTCCGCCTTAAACCTTTTTTGAATTGAGAAAATAAAAATCGGGAATGAAAAGAACCTCAAAACGATGGGAATCCAAGCGAATAACCTTGGTGGCCAAACTTTTAAGCCGGATCCTGCACGTCCTACCCAATCAAAGACGCAGAAAATTGCAACAACAATAACTGGGGTCCAATCTCTAATTTTAGGGGGTGTGTAAGTGCCAGTAACATATCCTGGGAATATAGATAACGTAATGAGGAAGTTTGCGAATACAGAAAGCCATGAAACCCAAATTGATTTTATTACGGTGATTGTTTCTCTGCTGAAGATGGAAACCTTCTCTTCAACCTTAGGAACTAATTTTTCTTTGATTTCTGGGTTCCTGATCTTAACAATGAAGAAAATAAGAGTAAAGAAAATTATAGCGGCAGAAATAAAGAAATAAGCAGCTGTTGAGTAGAGGTTTGCTTTTCCTGTAGCAGCGATAGCCTTTGTAATGATTCTTAATACGGAAGCAAGTACTCCGCAGCATCCACAACCAGATGATGCCATTGCAGAGGAAACTGGACTGAATTGGGATGCCATTGAGAATACTGATGAGAAAAGTAGACTTGAAATAACACCTGTAAGTCCAATAATTGAAAGTGTTAAATAAAACATTACACGGTCATCAATATCGATTAAAATGAAAATCGGAAGGAAGCACATGATAAAAGAAAGAGATCCGAGTGCAAAAATGATTGAAATTTTGTAGTTCGTCGGCTTAAAGAAACATAATAAGAGAGCCATCAATGCGTTCGGGAAGTTGTAAGTACGATTTAAAATTCCTGCCATATCAGTACGTCCTGTCAGTTTGTTGTAAATATCGATGGCATTGATGATAATATTGAAACAAAGTAATGAGGTGTTTCCTAAGCAGAAAAACATCAAACTCTCTGGATTTGCTGGCATTGCCTTCTTTTTAGCCTCACTTTCCTCAAGAAGTTGATCACTAATCGAATCACTCATTAGAGGAATGTTTAATTCTTTCTTCATTTTCCTTTTTTTGTTTCAATTTTTCTGAGGTTTATGAATCGGTTCAGAAAATTCCATAATGACGAAATTTGATCTAAAGTAATTTATTTTGTAAAATGAATTGATTGGATAAATTTGTCACTTTTATAATCAAATCATTTCGTATCTGAATTCTTATTATAACTTCTGATACAGTGGTTAGTTTTGGACAAATTCGTCATTTTGATTGGAATTTCCCAAATTTAAACAGTTAACATTAGCACTAATCCTCATTTTGAAGAAATTCCTTGTTAGATAGTTAAGTTATTTGAATGACTTTGATGTGTTCCCTTGTGTTGATGTGCCCTTGTGGTTATTTTGTTATATATTATAGATTTTGATTGCACCAAAATTACAAAGGTGCTGATACTTCAAATATATTCTAAAACTAAAGCAAAAAAGCATATTGACGTTTCAGAATCTCATCTTAGATTTTTTGATAACAATCTATATATTCTCTACTGAAGATTAACAAAATTGTTGTAATTAGACAGCAAATATAGTTGTATAGGATAAGTCATGAACTGCTAGACTTATAGATTCATTTAAAAATAGGCGATTTATTAGCTAAAGGTAAAAAATTGACAACTTTATATGTCGCAGGGACTTACTCATAATTTAGAGTATATTGCGGCGCACATTATGGATTATTTTGACGATGACAGGTTTTTTGATATTTTTGAACAAAAGGACATCAAAGCAATCTTTAACCTCGGCAGAATTCGAAATTGTTCTTGATAAAGTATAAATGACTAGTAATGCAAACAAATTCTTCAAATATGCATTAAATACAAGTGTTTCTGTAAATACTTCTCAAGATATCATTTCTATTCTTTCATCATTTAAAAAACACAAGCATTACCGATTTTTAGATGGGATAATTGATAATCTAAAGCAAAATGAGAAGAATATGTCAAAGAATTCGGATCAAAATGAGATTAAAAATGAAAATCAGAATGAGATACAAACAATCAGATCTCAACTTGAACGCAATGAATCAGAGATTGCTAAATTAAATGAAGAAAACATAAAACTCAGACAAAATCTTGAAAATTTGGAATCAAAAGAAATTTTATCAAAAATTGCTGAATTTAAAAATTCAAGTGATATTGAAGCTGTTTATGAATTCCTTGATGAACTTGCACAGAAAGGATATCAACAATTGATGTCAAAAGCTTGTGAAGAAGGACTTTGGGAGACAGATGATTCTCGTTCACAATCAATTCTTCATAAAGCATCAATTGAAGGAAATCTCAGGCTTGTTAAATCTCTTATTGAATGTGGATGTGATAAAGAAATAAAAAAATATCGTTTAGGATTTACTCCACTTTTTGAGGCAGCAAGACAAAGTCATTTTGAAATAGTAAAATATCTTATCTCAGTTGGAGCAAATATAGAAACAAAAGATTCATCAAAAAGAACTTTACTGCATAATGCATCATATGGAGGTAACCTTGATATAGTTAAATATCTCGTTTCAATTGGCGCTGACATCAACGCAAAGGATATGGACGGAGAAACTGCTACAAGTGTAGCGGCAATGTGGGGTCAACTTGATGTACTTAAATTTCTAATCTCAGCTGGAGCTGATAAAGAAGAAAAGAATAATAATGGAGAAACTACACTCTGGAAAGCGTTTGAATATGAAAAATATGAAATCGTTATATATCTTATTTCCATCGGAGCTAATACAGAAGGATTGGAAGATCAAATGAAAACTCTACCCATGAAGGTAGCAGAATCTGGTAGCACTAAAACCCTTGAATATTTAATTTCTAATGGAACTGATAAAGAAACAAAAGATGATCATGGAAGAACTCTTCTCATTTGTGCGTCAGAAAAAGGTCAACTTGAAACAGTTAAATATCTTATTTCCATTGGAGCTGATAAAGAAGCAAAGGATGATCGTGGAAAAACTCCAATTATTTGTGCATCAGAAAAACGTAAATATCAAGTAGTTTTATATCTGCCCACGGTTGGTGCTGATGTAGACGCAAAAGATAATGATGGAAAAACAGCATTTTCATACTTACCACCGTTTTTTAAGAAACGATTAATGAGATTTAGCAAAAATGCAGACAATCATTAATGAAATCGAATAAAAGTTCAGAAAATAAAAATTAATTTCTTTTCTACTTCAGAATCATTGAAAATAAAAATTTAATCCAGAAAAAGTCATTAGAAAAATTCGAATTATTAAAATCAAAGAAAATTTTCATGGATAAATTGTAAATATGTGTTAATTAACATATAAGAAGACAGAAAAGCTTTATATAACATATAAAAACTGACATTTCACTATTTAGTTTTCAACATCTACATTTGAAGAGCCAAATATGAAATATCCAATAGCTATAAATACTATAATAACGTAAATGAAGAACATCGTTGAGAAGAAGTCCTTCTTACTTTGTAATTTCTTTCGGAGAATATATCTCCAAAAATGGGAGAATAAACTGCCGTGTAGGCTCATTTCAGTTTGGAACAGTAAGTCGTCTTTTGATAAACACTGGGATGAATTATTTGTGTTTGTGGATTCATTGTTGGAATTACTCGCTTCATCTGAGCTTTTGAGGCTGAAATTGTCACCACTCTTCTTGTGGATTGGACTGCTATGGGCCTCTTGTAATTTTGGATACTTCAGATTCAAGAATCGAGATGAATTTACGAAATTCGGAACGCAATTCGTAGTACTCATCATTTTAGGATACTGGCTGAGCTTTGTAATTAATTCTTTTTTGCTCATTGTCTCCGTATCGATCTGAATCTGTAGTAAAATGCACATTTGTACAATTGTGTTTATAGAGTTCTGATTTAAGTGATCCCAGTCGAACGGCGTGGAGTCCAAATTCCCAGACATTCGCAGAAAGTCTTTCTTGTCTGTTTTTTTCGACTTCCGCCGCGACATGAAATTTTGAATTGTCAAAGATGACAAATTTGTCAATTTATCGAGAAATCAAGGGTTAAAAGTCAGATTTGCTCGTTAAACGCATACATGCATTTTAAAATAAAAAATATATCCAAAAAATGTAACGGAAAATGAGCTCAAAAAAAATTGTCGAATTTGACAAGGTTTCCAATGCGGTTAATGCTCTTATGATAAGAGAAATAGATTTATACTATCCGAAGATGATTGAAGGAGTTAATAAATTAAGGGTCTGTTATCCGGCCAAACGAAGGCTATCGTTGGAGTCCAGAATTTCTATTTAATTGTAGATCCTAAATCTATACCAAACTTATATTCTGTCTTTGAAATAATTTGTGAATTTCGTTATCGAAGAGCCGATAACGATAATTAAAATTTTGGCATTCAATTTTTGAATAGTATATTGAAAATTCGATTGGGACCCTAAAATTTAAAAAAAATTCTGATTATGAATCTTCGGAATCATCACTTGGTTCTATTGCGTTTTCATGGTCTTCTTCGAGCATGCTGAGGAAATAATAAGCGTTTTCATAAGTGATATCATGTGGATCTGAAAAATCTTCACAAACAACTAACAAATTGTCATATAATTCATCGGAATCAACTCCTTCAAAAAGTGGATGATCAAAAAGTTCTGTATCTTCATTGAGTAAAATAAATTCGGCAATTTTTCTCAAACTTGAGAGACAATAAGGCCAAACTGACTTAGCAGGTGTCTCTAGGAATGATGCGAAGAAGGATGCGATCTTCTTTTCTATGAAAATTTGTTGCATATACTCATCATTTATGAAATTGCAGCAAATGTTAAAGAATTTGAGGACTTTCTTGCGAGATTTGAACGACCCATTGTCTAAAATATGGATTGCAAGGTCAATTATCTTGTTCTCATCAGCTATTTTTAAGAAATCCATTCCTAAATAAATAATATTTCCCCAAATCCTGATTGATTTGCTCATATACAGCTCGTTATTGCAATCTCGTAAATAAAGGAGCTTGTCAAGAAGGTTTCTCTCCCAAATTTGCTTGCAATAATAAGATTTTCCCGTAATTATCTGAAAAAGTTCGCAAATTTGAAGTCTCGCTGCTGTCAACAAGTTTCCAAATAAATCGAAACAGCGATGGTCGATGTTTTGTTCGAAAATGAAGTCAAAAACTTGTGGAGTGCTGCATTGATTCAAAATAGTGACCAAAAGGGTAATTAATTGAACGAATACATCGGGATCGTTCGATTCGTTGAGTTTTTGTAGAAGAGGAAGAAAAGTTCGGCCAAGTTCATTATCATCTTCGGGGGCTTGAGAAATATAGACATCAAGTATTTCACGAAGATTAGTAAGTTGAGAAATGTTTAATGAGTCGTTGAAAAACTGTTGAATGCAAACATTTATAAAATTAATTTGATTAAGTTTTTCAATAACAATCGGTGCTGACATAATGTAATTTGTAATGGCTAATTTTGCTGTTTTTGACATATTTGGCCCCATTAGTTGAAATAATTGAACAACATATTGATTATCTAAGGAAATTGCTAATCTTGGATCGAGTAAGAACATATGAGCTAAGTTATATAATGCTTTTAATTGTATTTGCTGATGAAATGATGCGTCAGTCCCGAGAATAATAAGAGCTTCAAGGATTTGATTATTTAAAGTAATTTGTGGTATAGAAAGTGAGTATATTTCATCAAGGTATTGTAATGATGTTTCTAAATCTGAGTTTGGAATTGAATTTAGAAGATCAAGAAAATGTCCTGGAATTTTTTGAATTTCTTCAGCTGTTAATTCTTGGATTCCTTCATCTTTAGGTGAATCATCGTCTTTTTCTTTTGTTGTAATAGCCAGATCTACTTGATGTTCATCTGAATCAAATTTTTTTGGAATCATCTTTTAGAATGACAAAACCAAAGTAATAAATTTACTTACAAGTTGATATGGTATTCTTGTATTTGAAATATGATAAAAAATAGACTTGAATTTTGCAAAATTTTTGGTAATTTTACAGTATTTTGTAATTTTAATTGGTAAATATATAATAAAAGTTAATATTATGAATATTTATGTTCGAATTGTTTGATTTTGTTGATTTTGTTTTCATAAAAAGTGACAATTTTCTTTGATGATTTCACTTTTCCTATCTTTATCACTTAGTATTCTTAAGCGCACTGACTTTGATGAAGCCATGACTTATGCTCATAAACGTGGTAAAGTTTTTGTTTTAGCAATTGACTCAGATTCATACAATTATCCCTTAATTCTTCATACTTTTACAAATGTTGCTCACGATTCTAATGTTGATGGACACTTTTTAATTGTTGATCTGTATGAACAAGATTTAGCTCCAAGCCAATTTAACGCAAGTGAATTTCCTTGTTTATCTTTCTACCAAGACGGTGTTTTCTACAAGAGCCATCAAGGACACTTCAGCCCAGAGTTCATCACCGCTTTTGTCAACTCAAACAACTTCTCTCCAATACCTTATATCGCAACTGAAGATGGTCTCGTCGAATTTAGGAAAACAGCTGCTCTCGGCTTCATTGCCGCGGTAGATGTACCCAGCCAGCACATTATTGACTTCATGAATACAATGCATCGTGAACATTTCAATGAAATTACAGTTGCTTTTGCAAACCCTCAAATTTTCGATGATATGGGTTTCTATCTCTACAGATTTGAAGATCAGATGATGTTTACACTTGGAGATATCGAACATTTCGATGCAGAGCAAATTCTTCAATTAATTGTCGATAGATCAGTCCCAACGACCCACCATCTTAGCGGAGATATTGCTAACTGGTTCTACAACAACAAGCAACCCTACATTATCTTGAATTACGCTTATGAAGGATTTTATATCAACGAAGTTAGCGCAAGAGAAGCAGATTACATCTCCAGCGAATGCGAATTGAATGTTACATACTCCCAGCAAGGTGTTAACCCTATTCCTGGCCAGCTTGGCATTTGGCCTTCCAAAGAACCACAAATGTGTATCATAGACAACTCCCGTAAGTATTCTAAGCACTACTGCGTCGATGGCGAACTCAACTCTGCCTCTGCAATCGACCTTTGCATACAATGGAGAACAGGAAAAGCAAAGAAATTGTATAAGTCAGAACTTCGCAAAGGAAAGAAGAAAGCTAAGAGCGAAATTGAGTCTATTAACGCTTACGAGTTACAAGATGAGATTGCAAAGGCTGGAAAATTAGTTATCGGAATTTATTATTCTGATGATACTTGTTTAAGGCCATTGAAGCAGATTTCCAAGGAAATGGAAGGTCAGCCAATCAAGTTCGTCCAGTTTTCTCTTGCAGCTAACGATTGGAGTGGAGATGAAGAAGTTGACATAGCTCCACTGCCCCGTCTCGTTATTTACAATAGAGGAAAGCTGCTCCTGCAGACACAGCTTGCCAATGAGACACAAAACACATACGACCAAATAACTCACGCGTTCTATCAATCGAAACTCGAAGAAGAAGAAAAGAGAGAGAACGAAGAGTTGCTTAAAGATGACTAAACATTATGTGGTTTAATAATTATTTCTATTTCTACTTCTTTTTCCTTTTCTTATTAATTTTTATAATTTTATTTTACATAATCCCTCTTTTTATCTTTGAATTTGGATTTTTTAGAGTCTGATTTTCATATTGTCAGTGCTCATGGTCTTTGAAAATTTATTAAATTAAAATGTCTACATCTGATGTGAACAGATATGACAGACAAATTCGTGCATGGGGCTTTGAAACACAGAGAAGGCTTCAGGCAAGTAAAATTTTTGTAAAAGGAATCAATTGGACCTCAATAGAATGCATGAAAAATTTAATTCTCGCAGGTGTTGGAAAAATAGTAATATTCGATGAAAGCAATAAACAGAATACTGATTTGCAGGTCCTTTCAACTTTAAATCCAAATACTCAAATGGAATTTACTTATCAACCAGAAATTACAAACTATGATGTTATTTGTTTATTCGATTCAGACGAAGATACTATAGAAGAAGCTATAAAATCTGATAAAGTTGTAATTGTTTGCTTCGGTGTCGCTGCTTATTTAGTTTACCAACAAAGAGACTTTCATTTTAATACCGAATCTGAGAAAACAGATAATCTCGGTTATACTATTTGCGGAGGATTGATTTCTCAAATGATTGTCGATCATCTTCCACCTTTAACAACACCTGTTGCTTTGAAGCTTGACTACTCGCCATCTAATTACTCTGCAAAGATTGTTTCAGTAGCTGAAGCATCAAATTAAAAAATTGTTTTTTTATATCCTAAATCTAAGGTTTTTTTCACAGATATGAGTGAATCATTTTAAATAATTGCTGAAGAACCTTCAGTTTATGAAAGAGTTTGGCTTTAACATGATAATTTTATATAATTCAGTTTTATTTATTAATAAATAACATTTCTTTTATAAGCTAATATAATATAAATGAAGATTTTAACTCATCACTGCAATAACTTAAGGAATTGGCCAATGATATTAAAAATCAAATCTGATCGTTTGTAAAAAACAGTATTAAAAAAACTAATGTAATTATAAAGAAAACAACACTTTTTATTAACAGCTTAGAAACCATAGAGTGTCTTGCCCTGTCTCTTGAGAGCATAGACGACATCCATAGCTGTAACTGTTTTACGACGAGCGTGTTCTGTGTATGTGACGGAGTCACGGATAACGTTCTCGAGGAAGTGACGAAGGACGCCACGGACTTCTTCGTAGATATCACCGGAGATACGCTTGACACCACCACGACGAGCAAGACGACGGATAGCTGGCTTTGTGATACCCTGAATGTTCTCACGCATTACTTTACGATGGCGTTTAGCACCACCCTTACCAAGACCCTTACCACCTTTACCACGGCCGGACATTATAAATAATGATTCTTGGATGTCTTCCAAAAATGCCCGCCATGATTTTATCAGATGTCTTTTTGTGTCTAGTAAAATTGAATATATTATGACGGTTTGATTTTATAAATTGAGAGGTATAAAATGGCAAGACATGGATGAAAATTTTGCGTTCAGAAAAAAAGGCGGGCAACCGTTTTCCATTATTTATTAGTATGGCTCGTACAAAGCAGACAGCTAGAAAGTCCACAGGTGGCAAGACACCACGTAAGTCCCTCGGTGCTAAGGCCGCTCGTAAGTCAACACCAACAATCGATTCCCAGGGTGCTAAGAAGCAACACCGTTTCCGCCCAGGTACAGTCGCTCTTCGTGAAATCCGTAAGTACCAGAAGAGCACAGATCTCCTTATCCGTAAGCTTCCATTCCAGCGTCTCGTCAGAGAAATCGCTTCTGGCTTCCGTGGCGATCTTCGTTTCCAGTCCTCCGCTATCGCTGCCCTTCAGGAAGCTTCTGAAGCTTACCTCGTCGGTCTCTTCGAGGATACAAACCTTTGCGCCATCCATGCTAACAGAGTTACAATCATGGAGCGTGATGTCCAACTTGCTCAGCGTATCCGCGGCGAACGTAACTAAATAGAACTTGTTATTTATTTTAAATTATTTTAATAATTTACGAGACCTAAATGAGTAAAGAATAAAAGATTTTATCATTTGATTTTATGAAAAGTTTTTCTTGTCTATTGATTCTTTATCTACTCTATCTGGAAGATACTTTTGAACATCTTTTATTTTTCCAAAAAAAATTTGAAAATCAAAATTTGAAAATAAAATATTAGAAATTTTTAATTAAAAATCAAAAATTCTAAAAAATTTGGAAATTTTTCGAAATTTTAACTGCATAGATTTAATGTATTTTGAATCTTATATTATATGCATAACAAACCAATTCTCAATCTCAAAATTTTGTCAAAAATTTTGAATAATTTTCATAAAAAAACAGTTTATGCCTTGTTTACTACATCAGCAACTCTTTGATTTGCAATTTGAGCCTCTTTGAGAGGTGTAATAGCCATGAAAACGTGGAACATATTTGGAAATTCATGGTATTCGTGTTCAATCTTTGCATCATTGAGTTTCTTATGCAGAATTCTGCAATCAGCCACTAAGCAATCATGAGTGCCAACGAAAATAGTCATTCTTGGAAGGTCATGGAATTCTCCAAAGATAGGACTGATTCTTGGATCAGTTTTCTCAAGATCTCCAACATAGAGGTCACTAGCGAGTCTTCCACCCTCATAATCAGATAGTAAATCAATGGATTCCATGCCATGGTAGCCTGGATTCTTACCTGTGACGTCAATCCATGGAGAAAGTAAAAATAGGTGCTTTGGCTGTTTAATTTTGCTATCTCGTAATGACATTGATAGGCTAAGAATAAATCCACCACCAGCTGAGTCGCCGATGAATTCTATCTCTTTACCGGGATATTTTTCTAAAATTTCCAAGTAATTGGCTTTGATGAACTCATAAGTATCGTTGTATTTCCAGAATGGAGCAATTTGGTAGTTAGGAACGATAAAGGTTGCATTGGTTCTTGAAATTAAATCTGCAACCATCATCCACTGCCAAAAGATGATGTTTCTGATATATGCTCCACCATGGAAGTATAAGAAAACCTTGTTGGATTCAGCATTCTTTGGCTTGACTGTCCAGTAGCTTCGGTTTTGGAATTTTGTTTCTGAAAAATCATATTTCCACTTAAGGAAGAACGGAAATGGGGTAGGATTAATCCAAAACTTCTTTGATTTGCATTCATTCTCTAATTGTTTCTTGAAATTGAAGAGTTTAAGGTGGAAATTGATAACTTTTAATCCAATTGACATTTTTTCTGGTAAATGATCAATAGACATATCAGATGTAACAATAAATGAATCTTTTATGCCATATGCTGCAGCTCCAATGAAAATTATTGAGAAAATAAAAGCAAAAACACGAAGGAATTTCATGATTACTTATTGCGATCATGTAAAGTTTTCAAACCATTGCACGATATTCAATTTTTGAATTCAAAACAATCAATTTTTTTTTCAATGAGTAGGGGTAATTTTAGCTAAAAGTGACACACCTGTAAAAAGTGACACACCCGTGAAGGGTGTGATTACCGATCGGTAATTTCGACAGTTTAGAATTTAAAATTTTTTATGGAACTGTTGCGAGTTTCATAAAGAATTTAAGGAATATAAGCAAAGATTTGAATCAAAATCTTAGACCTAAGCCGCTCGATTCGCTCGCGGCTTTCTTTATTATTTTAAATTTGCATATTTCCATCAAAAGTTCATAAGGTAAAAAATTTCGTTTATTTTTACTAAGAAAAAAAGGTTTTTGATAATAAATTTATTTTATTTCGAAAAAGTAACAATAATCGTAAAAGGGTATTGATAGGCTTGCTAAAGTAACTAATTTTAGCTGTCAAATACTTTTGTATTTTGAAGTAAATTAGTATAAATTTGATATTATTTTAACTCCCTTTGAAAACCTCAATTTTCCATACAGAGGGAACGGGAATAGCATCCAATATTCCCTGAGAATGGTTGCGCATTCTCAGTTCCCTCTATATTTCGAACGAAGCTCTCATCGGTCTTTTTTTTTTAATACTAAACGTTTTTTTTCCTGTCACTTTTAGCTAAAATTTGGGTTTGCCGTTTTAGATCTTCGACAAGCTAGGTTTCCAATAGTACTACTCATGATATAATGAATATAATCTTTTAATACATTTTTTTCACATAAAACATTTAAATTATTAACGAAAATTTCATTCACATTTAAGATTGAGGTGTAAATAGATCAGATCAATGATTCATTGTCAAAAACTAATATAAGGGAAGAAAGTTGGCTAAAGATTTCAAAGAGTGTTTCAATAGAATTCTGAAAAGCCAATTTAGTATTTGCAACCTAATGATAAAGACATATCATTCACTTGTATCATATTCCTAGATAAGGCATCAAACGAATACGATTATAGAACTGTGATAATGAAATTGAATGATTAAGAAATATGAAAATAATTCATATTATGCTTTCATTCAACCTCATCGTTACATATACTATCCTGCTGAAAAATTTTTCCAATAATATTCGCTTCTGCAGGCCACCTAAACAACAATAAAAATCGGTTAATGTTTACAAATGGATAAATTGTTCATACAATATCATATACCATCATATATCATACAGGCCACTTTTTCCTCAAAATTTGGAGAATGTCACATTTTTCATCAAATAAAATCGGTTCACATCCTGCATGATTTTTCTGAATATTTAGGAATACAATACCTTATTATAGGCCCATGGAGAAACCGAAAAATTGACGGAATTTTGGTCACTTCACTTTTGTTAGTATGTCTGAGGAACAACATACTTATGCTATGATCAAGCCAGGTTACGAAAAGTACTGGGGCAAGGTCATCGACCGCATCGAGGAGGAAGGTCTCCACATCGTCCAGATGAAGACAATGAGATTCGACATGGACTTCGCTTCCAAGTTCTATGCTGAGCACGTTGGCAAGGGCTTCTTCGCCGACCTCGCCGGCTACATGACATCAGGCACAATCGTCGCCCTCGAACTCGCTGGTCCAAACGCTATCGCTAAGTGGCGTGAGATCATCGGCCCAACAAAGAAGGAAGTCGCTGTCGAGAAGGCTCCAAACTCCCTCCGCGCTCTCTATGCTCGCTCAACAACAGAGAACCTTTGCCACGGCTCTGATGCTCCAGAAACAGCTGCTCGTGAAATCGCTTTAGTCTTCGGCAAGTAAATTATTTATTATCCTCAGTAATTATTTATCTCTTTTTCTTTTTCAAAAAACAATTTTTCTTTATTTTCTTACGTTATCTGTTTATGTCTTCATTTTTACTCTTCAATTCAAATACTTTAGCAAAAAATTTACTCATATTTAAAAACTAAATAACCTTTACTAAATAATTTTATTCGTTATCATAAAATCGATCAATAATAAAAGAATTTACCAATTTCATATCACACAGAAATACTTTTTAAGGACATATTGCCAATATAATTGTAATTTCAGAAAATTCAGATTGAAAATTATGAAATTAATGATTTAATTACATTAAAACACCAATATTTTGCTAAATTACCTATGATTACTAAACTTTCTCAATAAATATTAATGAAAAATTACATTTTTTTGTAAATCTAAATCTCTATCATTTATCAAATAAAAAAAATCAAATATATAAATTACTCTTCTTCATTCTGATTGTAATCTCCTTCGGTATCATTATTAGATTCTCCTTCGTTTCTTTCTTCTTCGCCATTTTCATTTTTCTCTTCTTCTTCAATTTCATTCATTTCTTCTTCCTCCATTTCTTGGTACTTCGCCATCTTCTTCTGAGGAAGCTTTCTTGGTTTAAGAGAGTCGAATCCTTTAACAGTTTCGCGGTAGAATTTTCCTGTCAAACCTACCATTTTTGGTTCTGTTTTTTGAGGATTTGCTCCATCAATTTTAGAAATAATATCTCTAAACAAAATTAATTCAGAATCCAACAAGAAAGTAACGCATGTACCGCTGTTTCCACCTCTTGCAGTTCTTCCTATTCTATGGATATACGTTCTTGCTGATGCCGGGGCATCGAAATTAATAACAGCATCAATGTAAGGAAGGTTTATACCACGTGCAAGACTATCTGTACAAATGATTAATCTCGAGGAATTCTGATCAACACTTTCGAATGCTTGGTTCTTCTTATCTGATTTCAAACTGGCGGCGAACTCGATTACTTGGAAATCAGTTTTAGCAAGAAGTGTCCTCATGATATTCGCAAGAGCAACAGCTCTTTTAGTTGTAGAAACAAAGCAAAGAATAAATTGAAAACGAGTTGTCAACGATTGCAAAATCGCAGGTTTGTTTTGGCGTTCTGCAATAATGAATTCTTCTTTAAGATGGTTGGGAATGACATACCTCGATTTATCGGAGGAAATGAGAATTTCGGGAAACTGCATCTTGAAATCTTCTGATTGTTTCGAATTTCGTGATAATGTGGCCGAACAAAGGATTTTACGTATTCTACGGTCTTTGGGAGGGGCTGTAACTAATGGTATTGTGAATTTTTCTGGTATTGGATCGCTGTTTAATGATCTTTGAACGTGATCAAGCCAATTTTCTAAAGGTTGCTCTAAAATGACATCACCTTCATCAAGAACGATGTATTCTATATCAGAAAGTAATTTGTCGTCGACATCTAGTAAATATGATGATAAACTGAGTGATGAACAAATATAAATATCAGGAACATTCGTATATGAGCTACTTTCACCACACCAATAGTTCGAGGATAAGATTGCACATGTAAGCTTTGAATTTTGAATCAATGCACAGACAACGTTATAAACTTGAATTGCAAGTTCACGATTTGGAACGACAATGATTGCGCGCAGACGTTGAACAATACGTTTATATAAACAGGATATGATTGGAATTAAATATGCGAGTGTTTTACCAGAGCCGGTTGGAAATCCAATTGCTAAATCGACATCAGATGCAAAGAACTTCTCTAAAACAGCAACTTGAACTGGGAAAGGAGCATTATAGTCATTATTTTGAAGATTTTCTATTAAGAACTGTGGAAGTTCTGGAAAGGAACTCCACTGTTGCTCTTCCATAGATTTTTTATTGGACACAAATCAAGATTTTAGTAAAATTTATGATATGTTAAATACTACTATCTGATAAAAATTAAAATTATAAAATTTTTATTCTTCGATATGGATCATCATTGCAATTGTCATGAATTTTGTCATGATCCTAGCAATGGATCCATCGAAGGATTAATGCAAAATCAATGTATTGATCCTGACCTTGATCCTATTGAAGAAATGCTGTCACAAATCTCGGTCGATATTAATTCAACAGCAAAACATCCATTAGAGATACTTCTTGAAAAGAATATTAAATGTACAAAACATTTAACTTCGGCTCTTGAAAATATGACTCAGATTTTAAGTGAAACATCACCGGAGATAAATTTTCTGCCATATGCTGATCAAAGCTATACAGAATCAGAAGCACTTAGAGCTCAAATTGAAGCTCATATTGATTTTAATTCCAAATTCGAAGAAAATATATCGCCTCCTCATTCAGGCTACTTTTAATCTTCTATCATCAGCAATTCTAATAGCAATAGCCAAAAGATTCCATTGCGACTACGATACAACCTTTACTTTTATATGTATTGATTATTATCGATTCAATTACATATAGAAAAGAAATTATGAATAAATTTATGTTTGTTAGTGAAAGTTCTTTTATAATTTTTCAAATCCAGATTTTACTTTTTGAGTAATAACCTGAATAAGAAATTTCAGTCAAAATGTAAGGAAAATTATCTCACTTTTTGATTGGACAAAATTGTAAAACTGACGTCAAATTTGTAATTTTACTCTGCACTTCTTCATTAGATAGAATTTCTCATGATCTAAGGGTTTCGTTTTGCTAAAATTGTCACTTTTATAGCATATTTGTTTTTGGATGTTTTGCGAAACCAAAAAAAAAACTATGATATACAATGTGTGTGTAAAGAAAATACTTTATTTACTAGTTAAAAAATCATTTGGTATTGATCAAGTTAGTAGTAGATGAGTGCGGGTTTAGTGACTTTTTTTGTTACATCTATATATAGACGATGCATTAAAATATATTTATTTATAAATCATTAAAAAATTAACATTAATTTTAAAATAATTTATTTTTTTATCTTTTATAAAAGAAGCTATATATAGATGATGTCAGATATTCCGCGATTAATTAAACATTGTTTAAATCCTGAATGGGTTAAACTTCAATTTAAAAATGAAGATTGTGAATTATTAAATGAATATGAAAGCCAAAATAAGCTAATGAGGTATAAATATAATGATAAAGAATATTTAATTTCATGGAATCAATGGAGTCATAATCAAAGACCTCATAAACGAGAAGAAGAAATTGAAAATAACGAAATGGAAATCATTGATGACATTAAAGAGGATGGAATTCCTAAATTTTGTAGAAAAACCTTTAGAACTAAGTTAGGAGCATATAAACGTAGAGTATTAAATCCTGAATATCTTAAACATCAATTTAAAAAGGAAGACTGTGAATTATTAAACGTTAATGAATATGAAAATGCTAAATCAAAACTGAGATATAAATATATTGGAAGTGATGAAAGGTGTAAAGATAAAGATAAAGTTTATTCAGTTTCATATAATAACTGGCACACGTTGGGGATAAGAAAACATTTAGGAGATTATGGTAAAAGTTCCGAATTCTTCAAATCTAGTATGTATGAGAGAGTAAAAGAAATCAGATATAATTATCATTCATGAATGAAAAATAAACTTTAAAAATTCATGTCTTACATTTTTGAATAATTTATTTTTTTAATTCGTATGAAAATGAGTGTCAAGACTAACGACGTTAAAAAATTGGGATTCACAAACGAGGAAATAAAGGATATATTAGAGGAGGCGAGTTATGAAGTTAATAAATATTATTTAAGAAATTGTCAAAAATTCGCTGAGTTATTAAATGATTTAGATTATGATGGAAAAATGAATAAAGATGATGTTATAAATTTCTTATATCCCACATCTGAAGAAGAAAAACCTAAAGAACCTGATGTTTTCCCTGAATATTATGAAGAACGGATTAAAGATGATGAATATGATGAAATTGAAAGACTGGAAAAAATAAGAGATGAAATAGATGAAAAAATTAAGGAATTAAGAGAAGTTGAAAAATATAATGAGAATGAAGTAGAGGGTTTAATGAATATCCCAGCTTCAGAATCAGAAGTTCAAAAATCTCATGAAGAAAGATATAAAAATTACTTTTTGGAATCTACTAAAAATTTATTAGATGGTGAAATAGATGAAACACTTTCAGAAGAAGGCACAAAATTTATTCATAAACATAAGTTACAATTTATTGACGATGGAGATTATCCATGTATATTACTTTCACCTCCTCTTGATTCTGAAAAATTCAAAAAAGCACTGAAAAATGTAACATATGCAACAAATACGATTAAGAAAGAAGACCATGATATTTACACAAATTATTATTTAAATAAATGTGCAGGTGTTGATAAAGTTTTTGATTTGTTAGATAAAATATCAAAAGAAACAATTGGTACATATAAAATTTTATGCGATTGTGGTTTCATTATTGAAGATACTAATAATGTTTCATATGAAAGAACAGCACCGAAGGAAGACGAAGTTGAAAGGTCTATACCATTCGTTATTAAGAATATAAAAGATATGAAAACTTATAAACATTATATTTATTCATTTATTTCAGAAAAAATGGAAGCAACCCATAAAACATCATCTCATCATTTTATAGCTATTCATACATTCCTTTTCAAAGTTGTGAAATTAAATAAGACAGGAATTAGATTTAATGTATCAGGGTACGCATTCTTGAGTAAATTAAAATGTATTCGTCACGTCGCAGATGATAAAAATTTATGTGTTCTTAATTCATTTTATGGACTTTAGCCCTGGACTTTAAAAAAAATAAACTTTATTTTTATTTATTTTTTAATTTTTTATTCTTACATAAATGAACAAAAACGGAACAGCTAAAATGAATGATAATCAAATAAGAGCCGAAGGTAGAAGGTTATTTAAACGCTTCTATAACATTCCTGATGGTGTTAATCCTAAAACTCGTAGAAGTTATTTAAATGAAGCCATAGATGCATATGAAGGATTTGACATTTCATCAGAAAGTGAGAGGTTAGCAAGAATGTTAAACGTTAATATTGATTTTTATTATTGTGACCCTCAACCAGAAGACGTAGACATAAATAAGGTAGACTTTCCATTAGTGGAATCAATAATGATAGATCCAGAATTTGAAACAGTAAATATTTTATTAACACAGAGTCCATGTGGAAAACTTCACGCTGACAGAATTACAGACGTTGAAGCACTCACAGGATATAAAGTTTGCCCCTTTTGCAAAGAAGAAGTATATTCTATCCGTGATGACCCAGAAAGGAAAAACCAAAGAAGATTTTTAAACATTGTGAGAAATGTAAAGAAAATAATGGAAGATTAATTCAAGACGTTCAATTGCAAAACACACAACAACCATATGCACCACATATCACGAAACAGAAGATATATCAATGGCTATTAGCACATAATTTGCAGGAATATTATAAACCAACAAGATATTATATTACTTTTGACTTCGAAACATTAGAGACTAAAGAAGAACTTCAACTTTCTGAATGTGCAACTTTGAACGCTTACTTAAAACCATTTATGGTATCATCAACTGTCAAAATAAAGCCGCAAACGGACTCTTTGAGTCCTGAAGGTCTTTCAGACCGAAGCGGCGAGGTCGTAGACCGTGATAAAACATTTACGAGGAATTTTTGCTTAACATCAAGTGATTCGTTCATCTCTGATTGGATTGAATTTTTATTTTCAACCTGTTCATTAGTTGCTAAATCAAATATTGAACAATATGAAGAATTAATGAAGCCGCAAACGGACCAAACGGCGGGGACTTTGTCCCATACATTAAATGAAAAACAGAAGGAAGCATTTAAAGAACTTCTAGATGAGGAATTCAATAAAGTGAATATCATAGGTTTTAATTCAGGAAAGTTTGATTTAAATTTAATTCTTCGTGATTTAAACACTGCAAAATGGAAAATAAAATCAATGCTGGGTTCATCTTCACAATTTAAGCAAATCATTGTAAAGAAAACAAACGTTCCATATGAATTAAGATTTATTGACATCAGAAATTATATAGCGGGTGGGACATTAGACCAATTCACTCAAGATTTCGGAAACAAAAATCACGTGTTAAATCCTTTTTCCCTTATCAATTCATCACATGGGAGAATTACGAAGAAGAATTATATAAAGAACCATTCACTCAAGATTCATTTTATTCAGCATTAACTCAAGAAACTATATCAGAGTGATTATCAAATATATCTCAATGATGCTAAAAATTTTAAGAATAGATTAGAATATTTTATTCATTATTGCAATAAAGATGTTGAAATTATGATTGACCCAATTGATAAAATTATTGAAGAAACATTTGTTTATAAAATTGATATGCTTCATAATCTTTCTTTATCATCGAATGCTTCAATGATTCGTTACGCTTTAGCATATAAAGACTTTAATCCTAATGAAAAATATCCTGAGGAAGAGATAGAATCAAGTTTTGAATTAACGAAAAAGTATTGGAAATATAAAATTGAATCATATAAGAAACAAGATGAAAAAGCAGAAAGGAATACTAAAAATAATGTTTCAATGGATGATTTTCAATACTATCACGATTTAATCCTTTCATCTAAATGCAAAATGTGTGGTAAAGCGTTTACATATGCAAATAAACCAACATTGGATAGAATCGATAATGAAAAACCACATACCAAAGAAAATTGTCAGTTAATGTGTTGTTATTGTAATGTCGTAAAATCAAACAAAGATGAAGATGTTCAACGTTTAAGAATCAATTTAAGAAATTACGCATTAAAAAATAATTTACCAATGACTTTAGATTCAGTTGAAGCTTATCACATTCTCCGTAATGGAATTACTGGGGTTATCAAATGTTCAACATAGAGTAAATCTTAAAGGAATCACGCACATTAATAAACTTTCATATAGTCCAGAAACTAAAACTGTATCAAATGAGGACACTTCCAACATCATGACTCATTTCGTTGGTGTTGATTTTAATTCATTATATCCTTCATCATTTTCATCTAATCCCATGATTTTATTCAATATACTGACCATAAAATGTATATGCCGGGAAGATTGAATGGAGTTATCATTTGTGATACAGCAACAAAGAAAGCAAAAGCACTGGGAATAATTAGAAAGAAAAATACTTTATTCGTGGCTGAAGTAAAGGGTCACATTGATGAAAAATACATTAATGATTACATAAACTTTTTACCGATAATAAGAAACTTAGATATTATCACAGATGAAAAAACAATTGGTAGTTTTATGTATAATTACATGAAATCAAACAATTTACCAGTTGACCAGAAACAGAGAAAATTAACTCAGTTAGCATCAACACACAACCAATATCAACCATTTTCTTCTTATTATCTATGGTATCTAATAGACAGATTTCATTTTATCATTGATGACATTCAATCAATTTTAACATTTACTAAAAACACTTGTTTTAATGAATTTGCGAACGAATTTATGAACGAAAGACAAAAGGCTGAATTAGAAGGAAATAAAGGAAAAAGTTTATTTTGCAAAATTTCACTTAATGGATCATATGGTTACGATGCAATGAATACACAAAATTACGCAAAGACTAAAATAATGAATGCACAGAAGGCACGCGTTGCATGTATGTCAAATAAGTTTAAAAACATAAGAGAAATAGGAGAGGATACGTATCAAGTGATGCTCAAAGATAGATTTTATAGATGTGATACATGTTTACAAGAGGCATTTTTTACTTTAGATAACGCAAAATACTGGTATTTGGTTTTCATTTATGATTTTATGTATAAATGCTTGGATGTTAATCGTTTTCATTTCATTGAAGGTGATACTGATTCATCTTATTGGGCAATCGCTGGCGACCCAAATCTTCCTAACACTCAAGCATTTCAAGCAATTGTTACCGATAAACAATTTTATGATAAAAACATTTTCAAATTCGCACCATTTGATTTCTTCTGTTTTGATGAGAAATTTAAACCTAAATTAAAGAATAAAGCTGAAGAAAAAGCACATGAGAAGAAGTTATTGGGTTTAGCAATTGAGAAACAAGGTGATAACATGGTTGCTTTATGCCCCAAGTGTTATACATCATTCAACGGTTCAATTGATGGAAGTGATTTTAAAAAGATTGCACAAAAAATGAAAGGTGTTAGTTTACGACAAAATAAACAATTAACACCTAAAAATTATTTGGATATAATAAATGATAAAGTGATATTTGATGGTCAGAATATTAATTTACAACTTAAAAACGGGTCAATGACTCGCTTAACAATCGGTAAGACTGCATTAACAGGAGCACACACTAAGGCTGTATGTTGTGAAAATGGATGTTGTATGCCATTTATTTAATACAATTTAAAAATGTAGGGGTTGAGTCATGAATTTAAAATTTTATTTTTAATAAAATACCACAGAAGAGACAAAAGGAACCGTTAATGATGTGATTCAATATGTAAATAATGGTTTTGATACTATGATTCAAAGAGGTGGGCACCCTTAAAACATTTATTTTATTTTTATATAAATGGATAATGTAGATTTAGAAATTTTAATTGATGATTTAGTATTTAATCAAAATTTTCTTGATTATTACGATTTAAAAGCATATCTCCAAAAACATAATAACAATATAACGGGTGATGATATGGATTATTATTATCCATATTATAAAAATGAAATTTTGAAATATCATGATAAAATAATTTCTAAAATTAAAGACAAAATTAAAAATAATAAATATACAAAGGGAAAATCTAAACCACAACTTAAACAGTTGAAAGATTTCAAAAATAAAGTATTAACAGAAGAAGATATTGATGAATTATATAAATTATATAATCCTGAGCCGCAAAAGCCAAAGAAGAAAAAGCCGAAAACAACACCAAAAGAGAAAGTAGCAAATGTTCAACAGCTAAAGGTGCAAAACGCCCAGGTCCTTCAGACCATAAATGATGCACAAGCTTTAATTTATGATTCATTAGTTAAACCATATTCAGCCCGACTTTTAAATGAAGATCAACTTTTGGAATTCATCCTTCAACATAAACTCGAAGCGGGAAAGTATATCAAACCTTTATATACAGCATATTTAAAACAAATGAATAGAATACATCCAGAATTAATGAAAGTGGGTGTCAAATCCAAAACTTCATCATCCAAAATCAAAGCGGATAAAATTAAACCACTTACAACACCAAAACCTCCAACGACAGTACCTCCTCCCCCTTCAGTTAATCCTTCATCATTCACTTTATTATATCCATTTCAAACATTAAAGAAGCAAAAAGATTTTAAAAAGGATTTCAAGATATTAAATAAACCAATTGACCCAAAAATTCAACCGTTAAAGGAAAAATTTAGTCGCCCTTCATTTGCACCATATCCATATTCATACGAAATCGATCATCTGGAATATTCAAAAGGAAACATTACTTATTTATTTGCCATTAACATTAACACTAGATATTTATATTGCATTCCAGTGAAAGGGAAAACAGAACAGGAAACAAGAAGAGCTATTCAATACTTACTAGATCATGAAAGAGTAGATAATATCAGGGGTGATGGTGATAAAGGATTTCAGGCAGCTATGGCTCATTATTTCCCACAAATTAATTTTTACTTCTCATCTTCTCCATATACGTTTCATAATAAAATAGTTGATGCGGTAATGAGAACTCTTAGAGATGCGTTGGGGGTTAACGGTCAGATATACTGGGATGGAAATCATGACTCCATCATACAACAGTTAGTATATTATTACAATAATACATGGCATAGAACAATAAACATGAAACCAGTGGAAATGAAAAATGATATTTCAAAAGAATGGGAATATATTAGAAAGCAAATGGAAAGGTTGAATGATGTTAAACATGAACAAATTAATTCGGGGCTCATGAATTTTAAACAAGGGGATAAAGTTTTGATTCATCTCGATTATGGAAAAACTGATAAATTAATGACAAAAAGAAGACGAAGATTTGACACAATAGCCGAATTTGTTAGATATATTAACGGTAATGCATTAGTTGAAGTTGGTGATAAATTAATAGAAATTCCGATTTATTTTATTACTCCATTATATTTAAATAATATTTAATTTTTTTTATTTCGTAAGAAATGAGTGACAACGAAGCAGCCAAGAGTCCAGACGATGAATATAAAAAGAAACTAAACAGAATTAAATCAAAAATATGCTATTACAAAAAGAAGCCGCAATGCAGTGGGGCTGAAAACGATAAAGAGAGGAAAGAAATAATCGAAAAATTAGAAACTTATCGTTCAATCCTTAAACTGGGTGAAGCAAAAATAAAAGAATTTAATAGAATAAATAAATTGATTGGAAGAGATGAATTTAATAAAGATGAATTTTTAAACTCAATCCAAATTTAATTTTTATTCCTCTTCGACAACATCTCTCTTTCCATCATTACTGCATAACCACATTTTCTCAATTTTAGTGGTTTGTTATTTTTAACATGTTCTTGCATCATTTTTATCATTTCCTCCCTTGTTATGATTCGTGGTAAATTTTGAGCTTGTGGGGTATTCATTTATGATAAAAATAAAAATTTGTTATCAGTTATTTTATCGTTAATGTTTTTAGGTTATTCAATAATTAATTATTTTTGAATAACTGGGAAATAAATTTACGTCAAATATGCAATTTATAAAATCTTATGTCGACAGGCTACGTAGCACAGTGGTCTAAGGTGGTGTTATGGAGGGGTCAAGGTCTGTGGTTCGAACCGCGACAGCGCCGTATTTTCTCATTTTCTTTGTTTGTCTTGTTTGTCGTGAATAAAAAGTGTCATAAAAGTGCTCTATCTTCCACGGGAATAAATAAAAAATTTACTTTATTTCTTCTTTATTTCTTCTTTATTTCTTTGTTCCCGTGGAAGAAGGGTTTTGATGTTTTTTCTCAGCCGAAATCAATGATTTTTTCATTTTTGGAATCCTTAGCGAATGAGGAATCTTTTCTCTCGTGGAAGCTTTGAACAAAAATAAGCCGCTAGCGGCAAGGGCGAAGCCCATGTTTAGGTGAAGAGGTGAGATTTCACCTGTTTTTATGGTAGCACTGAAATAAAATTTTGTTATCAGTTATTTTATCATCATTTTATTAAGTTCATCTTTAGTTAATAATTTGAATGGATTCGCTAATGTTCCACCTTGAGTCACAACACCTGCCCCGGCTAATTGTGAAGAACCTGGGATAAGTACTCCATGAAATGATTTCATTGGTATCATTAATTTAGAAATAGTTGGCTTAATTAATTTGGTCATTTATGATAAAAATAAAATTGCATAATTTAAATTTTTTTCTTTCTCATTTTCTCATCCTGTTTTGGTTTCAGCAACTTTTCAAGTTGTTGTCTTGTCAGTAACTTTAATTTTAACTTTGGATCAAATATTGGGTTTCCATCTTTATCTCTTCCAATAACACCATATGGTAGAATCTTCATTTATACTAAAATAAAAATTTGAATTATGCCGTTCGCTCTTTTGGAGCTCAGGACTTTCATGATTTCTTCGTAAATTTCCTTAAGACTTCTTCGTAATGAGCGTAAATGACCCAAAAATAATGTTTAGGGTAGAAGGTTAGATCTAACCTCTTTTCTAACCTCTTTTCTAACCTCATGAATTTTCATGAATTTTCATGATTTCTTCGTAAATTTCCTTAAGACTTCTTCGTAATGAGCGTAAATGACCCAAAAATAATGTTTAGGGTAGAAGGTTAGATCTAACCTCTTTTCTAACCTCTTTTCTAACCTCATGAATTTTCATGAATTTTCATGATTTCTTCGTAAATTTCCTTAAGACTTCTTCGTAATGAGCGTAAATGACCCAAAAATAATGTTTAGGGTAGAAGGTTAGATCTAACCTCTTTTCTAACCTCTTTTCTAACCTCATGAATTTTCATGAATTTTCATGAATTTTCATGAATTTTCATGATTTCTTCGTAAATTTCCTTAAGATAGAATAAATAAAATTAGTTTTATTTTTATTTATTTTTTTTATTTTGTATGTAAGAACAGAAATGTCAACAATCAGCACAACAACAATCGGCACAACAACAATTCAAGCCACGAACGGTGGGACTCTGTCCACAACTACAGCACCAAACTCGTTAGTTATGAATCCTACGTCAATGTTAGTAGAGATGAAAAACTTCATTCCTTCTTCATATACTTTTGAAACAAAAATCCAGAAGATAAAGCAAGAACTGTTAACAAGTAATTTAGACTGTAGTGCGAAAGATGAAACAAATGAAGAATATCTTTATGAAATGCAGGACATTATTGACCATTTGCCTAAACTACCTGAAATCCAACAACAAAAACTAACTATTCCTGAATTCGACGAAATTGAAGTGAAACCAACTGACTCAGTAGAAATAAAGAAGTTCATACGAAAGGTAAATTATGAATTCCTTGGTTTTCATTGCAACCATAAAGTTATGAACAAAGATTGCGATATGGTATATAAGAACATCTCTGACATATATAAATCTGAAGAATTTAAGACATACGACAACATTGTTTCATTAGCTGCAAAATGTGTATGGCAGATAAGAGATAAAGATAGAAGGGGTAAAATATGGAACGAACAAATAAAACCAACAGCTTTTGAGTTAAAGAAAACCATTGACGCCTTAGTTGTTTTAGCAGGTAAGGTTTCAGAATATAACGCAAAAATGAACCCACAATGTTCTAAATGTAAAGCAGCAATTAGGAAATATAACTACTCCGTCAAAGAGATAGAACGTATGCGAAACGACTATGCTGACTTAAAGAAAGAAGTAGAGAAACCAGCAGAAAATAAAATGAACATGTTAGAATTTCTGAACAAAAACTATCCAACAGTTGACGATTTCCTTCTATCTGATGTCAAGAAGAAGTATAAAGAAACTTTCGGTATCGTTAAAACATTTGATATCCTCAGCGAAGAAATAGAAGCTACGAAACTGTTTAAAGTCTCACGAATTCATAACGTTTACCATGTAAAACGCTTATAAAATAACTGGGGTAGAAAAGAGGTTAGAAAAGAGGTTAGATCTAACCTTCTACCCTAAACATTATTTTTGGGTCATTTACGCTCATTACGAAGAAGTTTTGACAAAACATTTACGAAGAAATCATGAAAATTCATGAAAATTCATGAAAATTCATGAAAATTCATGAGGTTAGAAAAGAGGTTAGAAAAGAGGTTAGAAAAGAGGTTAGATCTAACCTTCTACCCTAAACATTATTTTTATTGAATTCAGCAACAAAAATCATGAATTTCCTTAAGATAGAAAAAATAAAGTTAGTTTTATTTTATTTATTTTTTTTATTTTGTATATAAAGACAGATATGTCAACAACAGAGAACACAACAACAGAGAACACAACAACAGTTATCGTTCATGAAGCTATAAATGAAGAATACGAGTACATACAGTTTAACAAACAACTCCGTCTCATTCGTTCGGTCAAAGATGACATGTACCAAATGCAAAGTATTTTGAATGCTCTTCGTTCTACAAAGCAAGCATACCATTGGTTTGAAAACCAACAGACAAAAGAACTTTTAGAAGAATTTCCTCATATGTTTGCTTCCCTCGGAAAACCGAGGGTAGAGATTCCGTACGAAAATCGCAAGAATTTGGCTCCTGGTTTGAAAGGATATTATGTTCATAGACTTCTTGTAAATGCTGTTGCAATGTGGGCTTCACCTCGCTATGCTTGTTATATTTTCATGATGTTAGATGAAATTCATAGACAAGAACGTGAAGAGATGGAAAAGAAACTTCATGCAAAAGATGAAGTCATTGAAGCAAAAGACAAAAACATACAGAAAAGAATACCACGTTCGGTACCAAAAGGAAAGGAAAAGAACTATAAGTATATGATTTACGCTGAAGAGATGGAGAAAGAAGAAGATAGAGATATGGTTATGTTGCATTTAGTCAGAAGAAACAACAAAAGCTTTTACGACTTAGCTAAGATTTACAAATCTGACAGAAACTGGTTCTATCGTGAAAACTTACCGATTTCAATGACCCCAAATGAACAAGTTAAACAAATAGTTCAAGATACTTTACCTCAAACACACTATGATATTAAAGGTTGCACAATACTTACATTCAAAGAAGATTTGCCATTACTGAAGGAAAAAATAACAGAATATTTCGATAACTTCAAAGAGGAAGAATGAAGTCACAACAACATTAATGAAGAAGTCACAACAACATTAACGAAGAGAGAATGAGGTGAGATCTCACCTTCTACCCTAAATTATATTTTTGCCTTCCTCCTTTCGTAAATGTCATGTTGTCATCATTTTTAAAAGAAGTTAATTTAACCTGGTGACGTAGTGACACTGAAAAAAAATTAATTACAGACATAAAATATATTTAGTTCATTCATTGAACTCTATACCATGCGTAAACTGTCATGTAAGGTGGCATGTATTCTTTACTTTGTCCCGTTGTTTGCGTATATCCTGAAACGAAATGTGTATGGTTTCCTCCTCCCTCAGTGTTACTCCAGTAACAATCTATAGCAAACTTAACGTTGTCTTTAACATCATATCCTTTACCTTTTGTCATTCCTGACCAATCCCAATATCTATGCTTATGCCAACCCGCTTGAGATGTGCTTAAATCTATGTAGTGACTGTGTGCAGGTAAATTTTCACCTGTAATCGTTTTACTTCCCCCTGTTTCCTTTGAAGAGTTTGCACAATACAAAAACCTGTCAACTATTTGTTCCCATGCACCAACACCAAACATTACTTGAGGACCTCTTGCATCCATAGATGTATAAATAGAACCTACTGGGTTCATTAAATCAAACATATGAGATATTATAGGATTGTCTCTTTTGAACTTAAAATATAGTGTAACTATTTCAGGTTTCTTCTGGTTTGTGTCAGAATATTTTTTATAATATAATCTTATGTTTTCAGGGTAGGTAAAATCTTGACTATAATATTTATTTCTGTCATCTTCATAATAGTATACCATTCTCGTTTTTTCTATTGCATTATATCTTTTATATCTATAATATTCTAAATATAATGTTTGCTTTTTTGGGTCTACACGTGCGTCAGCACCATAGTCATAATAGTATGGTGCTGGAGCTGGGTCAGCCAACGTCATACCTGCCATTTCATAAACTCTTAAATATTTCTTTTGTTCGTCTCCATATAAGTTTAAGTAGCAGTTGTTGTCTAATGGAACTTTAACTTGTGTACCATCGTTCTTTTTATAACTTACATACATTTCATTGTTATTTTTCGGAATGAGTTTATACCGTATACCATTTCTTAAGGACTGTACAAACTGCCATCTAAAATATTTATTTTCTTCATTGACAGAAAAGTCACCAACAATAGTTTCAATATTTTTTGTTCCTATCAAACTTTGGTATATTTCGTTAACATATTCCTTATCCGCCTTTTTCATTAACTCATCGTTAACATATTCCTTATCTGCTTTCTTATTTAACTCATCGTTAACATATGTTTTATCCACCTTCTTATTTAACTCATCGTTAACATATGTTTTATCCGCTTTAAGGTCTAAACATCCTGAAACCCATCCTGTATCGGCTTTTGTTTTTAAAATCTTTGATGTCCATTCATGATACCATTCAACCCTTTCTTTAATTTCATTATCTTTTTCATCAACATAAACCAAATTTGCTTTCTTCATTAATTCACTATCAACCCTTTCTTTAATTTCATTATCTTTTTCATCAACATAAACCAAATTTGCTTTCTTCATTATGTCATTTAGGAAACCTTCTATGAATTCCTCATTTAAATTAAATCTTCCAATCTTCAAAACTTTGGGAAATGCATTTAATGCGTAATATCTTTGTTCTTCTGGTGGAATTGATGTTATATCATCTGTTATACCTTTAATTTTAGAATTCATAAATAAAATTTCTTTTATATTTGATATCACTGCACCACCTTTGCAAACGAATTCGAAATGGTCATTTTTCAATACTATCTCCAAATCTCCATATTTCAACCTTTGTGTTTGTTCTGCCGTCTTTGAATTATATGCATATGTGGCGTATGTAATGGTCTGCGCCTTAGTTGTTGTAGTTGCTGTTGTTTAATCATTTATTACGATTTAAAAATAAATATTTAATCTGTTATCTCATCAGCTATTTTTTCTATTTGAAATTGCCATAATATTTCATTCATGAATTCTAAATCACAATCAAATAGGTCAGTTATTCTAAATTTAATATTTGATAAATCTTTTGAATGAAGAATAAATGAATTCCCAGATAATTGAAACGGATATGATAAAGAAAATGTGTTTAATTGATGGATAAAATGTTTTGTATTGATGGGTAAGAGTTAGGTCTAATGTTTTGATGTGAAAATCTCATTGGGGTATTAACTTATCACATTTGATTAAAATGAAATTGGAACCGGTGTCAGAATACAAAACATCCCCAACATCTTTTTCAAAATTTAATATCCCCAACAATGAACGAAGATGAGGAGTACAAAATTTAATTTTCAGCGGAAATTTAATAAGGTTATTTATTTCATCAAGTTCAAAAGTTTATCAGGTTTTGATTTAAAATTTTCTTCATACCATACGATAAATGATTCATTTAAATAACTTAAAATCGTGTTAATATCCCATTTCGTTATCACATTATTTATATACATATCATACGTTTTTTCATGGTCATCTTTAATAAATATATATAATCTGAAGGGTCTAAAAGAATGGGATTAAATTTACCACTCACAGAAACGAGAGTAACATTATAAATTCCGCTAACTGTTAAATTTAATTCACAGTTATTATTCGAAATAATATTGATAATTGACATTTTTTTATTACGATTAAAAATATGGTAAAGCGTTATTTTCCAGTGATAAATAAAACTAGAATAAGATTACCTCAAGAATTCATAAATTCAACGAATAAGAAATTCATTCATGTTATAAATTTTAGTGTTTTCAGAAAATATGAGTCGATGTCATATTCATCATCAGGTTATATTTCACTTCATTCAAATTTAGTTCAATCAAACCCATATAATGACCATTTCATAAGATTTTCAGATGGTATTAAAAATGTAATTGATAGATTAAAATATGAACAGATTGACAATATCGAATTTTGGAATTTTGGTTTAAATATCCCGATGGAAAAAAGATTGAAGTTAAAGATAAAGCAGATACTATAACAAAACAATTACAATGACCGATCCAGATAGTGGGGAACAAAAAGAAATAAAACAAACGATAGAAACTGGTGAAAGGTCAATTATTATTGATTATGATTCAAAGGATTATTATTCAATAATGTTAATGCTTGAATATTAAATAGCCTTAACAAAGAATTTTTCAAGTGATATTTTATATTCATCAACTATTTTATTATAAATATCATTATAAGTTAAATGAAGTTCAGTTGTTGTTCCGTTCTTTGATATCTTAATTGTGCTAATATCCTTTATAGGATTTATTTTTGCAACTGTTCCGCAGCATGAAACCTCATCATCTATGAAAAATTGAATCTTAACGTCTGAATCTTGAACATCACAAAGAATGGCAATAATGTGAATTAATGATTCATAAGGTAAAATAATTAAACCGGATTGGTCAATTAAATTTATTATTGAATCATAATTATCAGTTATTATATCACGGTAAATTTTCATTAATTCAGAATTAATGTCTATTTTATATGGCGCATTGCGACTGGAATCGTAGATTCCTGGGTTCTCGATGTTTGATGAAAGAGGTGGGGGGTATGTTGGATAAGTGGGAATTTCAACAGGTTCTTTACCGGGTTCAGATAAAATGATTGGGTCTCCATTCTCATGGTTTTCTTCATTCTCCTCATTCTTCGGTAAGTCACGAGTTAATAAATTTGGTTGAGTTGCTGACCTTGTTAATTCAGGGCTAACATTAACTTTAACATTTTGAATAATTCGTGATTTATCATCATTTACGTTATAACCAACCGTAATCTCTGCTTTTGCGTTAGTGTTCTTTTGATTAGTGAAACGTCTTCTCATTTATAATCGAATAAAAAAATATATTTAAACTTTTATTTTGTCGGAACTTTTGAATCTATTATTCCCTGTATTTGTTCTTGAAGATGATTTATTGCTTCATTATCGTAATTAAAAGACCTAATATATTCATTAATTGCATTCTTATAATCATCTGATTTCTCAAATTTTCTTTTATCTGATTCCTTAACTAAATCATAAGTTAAACCTCGTTGCTGATAAAATGGTTTCTTAATTAAATCTTTGAATGCTTGAGATAAAGCACCTGATGCAATTCTTGCTACTATAATTGGTTGGAATTGCTGTTTAAGTTCATCTTTAACATTTGCGAAAACTGGATCGAATAAAGAAACTTTAAAGAATTTCTTAGCTGAAATTTCAGGTCTAATATTTGCATATTGACCATCAAACTGGTTAGAATATCGTGGTAATCCATCTGGTCCCTCTTCAATAGCATTTAATTCTTCATTGAAATAAGAATATGGATTATGACGGTATAAATTAATTGGACCATGTTCACCTTCTCCAATGTATTGTTTAACAGCTTTTCCATTTTCATCAAATTGCATAGGATAACGTTCATTATATGCTTTACGTTTAGGATAATCAGACATAGTTAATTTATAACCATTTATGACTTTAATATTTCCTTGACCATCAGTAACGAAAACTTCATTTATACCATCAGGTTTTCCATTTGGACCCGTAATGTCTGCTTCGTGTGCTTCCCAATTTGGACCATGACGTTTGGCATATGCTTGAGCTTCTGGTAATGTTAAAACGTTTCTCATTTGTTTAACATCTTTTTGAAGACCAGCAACAATATGAACTAGTTCTTTCATTCCATCAGGAACTTTCATAGTTCTATTATATGCACCCTTTTTGTTTGTTCCTTGTTTTAATGGAACCTGTAGAAGATTTGCTATTTCTGTCATGTTTAATTATAAATAAAAAATAAAAATTAATTATAAAAAGTTAATCAAATTTAACACTTCCTTTATTTAAATCAACTATTATTTTTCCATGTTCACCTAATTGCTGATATTGTGTGTAAAGTTCATTAATGCTCATTGGTAAATTCACTTGATAAAGCATAACGTTCAACTGTTGACGACTAAACCCACTGAAAATGAAAAGTGTTGATATATTTGATTTAATGTTTGTGCTTAATGCTTTGAAGTATTGAACAGCCATAAAAATGAACACTGAATGTGTCGACATTGAGTTAATAACTGATTAAAATATGATTTCTCATTTGTTATAGTTTTGATTTCACTGCATCATCTAGAAAAATGAGTGAATGCAAAAATTCTCTATCAAAATTTGAAATAGAAAGTGTTTCAAATAATTCATCCCGTTGTTTATCAATAATTTTATCCTCTAATCCTTGCTTTTGATTGTATTATATAATTCTTTATACATTAAAAAGTTTTTTAAATAATCTTCTGCTTCTTCTTGAGATAAATAAATAATTGGAATTTTGATTAAATGCTTTAAAGATTCAAATGTATCATCTGAAGGTGAACCTGAACGGTTGATATAAATTAACACATGTGAATGGGGGGAAGTGTTAGCAATAATGATAATTTGTTTTAATATCGTTAATGTTTTGCCTTTATTTTGTTTACCAATTGCTGCAGTGATTGAATTTAAGTAACATTCAGAATATGGAATTTTCATTAATTTTTCCTTAGATAGAGCATTTCTATTATCACTCAATGCTTCATTAATCATATCATCTACGTATGTATTATATACTCCTGCTAATTCTTCATAAGGGGTGGATGAATTTAAATCCATTTAATCAAAAATAAATTTATAATTTTAAACATTTCTATTCATCAATATTTCATCATATGAACTTCTATACTGTGGTGGTGTTCCTGTTGGATGATATTTCAAACCTTCATCCGGTGTCCATGTCCAATATGTAGTCCTAGTAAACCAAACCTGAGGAGGATTTGTCACCTTTGAACAGTAAGTGTCATTTACACCCTGAATGATTGGATAAGCTTTCACTTGTACTGTAACTTGTGAATTGAAAGTTTCTAATCCATCAAAGAATATACCCGCTCCATCACGTTGAACTGGAATAGTGCATAAGAATGAAGTTTGGTCTTTCCATGTTCTAGCTAATGGCACGCCATCATCATCATTCAGTGGTCTAGTTAATGAGTCCTCGTATTCTTCCGTGCATTCATTCACTCCATCTAAATCAGAAGCTTGAAGCATACGTGTAAAGAATATGTCGCCCACTGTTGTCATCGCTTGATCGGGGAAGTTTCTGGAATCTATAGTGACCTGAAGACCTCGAAGCATTGGATTTTCTAAAACCGTTCTTTGCATTGCATTCTTCGGAAATGCTAACACAACATCTGTAACATTATGAAGAGCGTATGAGAAATCTGAGCTAATACCTTCAGGAGTGATGCAACCTCCATTTAGTGAACGAACGTCAATATGTTGAGCTGGAATCATGAATGGATCTTCCTTACTGAATAAACGTGGTATTGCTTTAACTGATTCTTCAATTAAACCGTATCCTGGTGTAATGCATTTATCCTCTAAAACTTCCATCTTTGTGCATGAAATAATAACGTCTTCAACTGTTGCGTCAGCAGATGTAGCGGCTAAGCCTGTAATTAATTTGGCAGGAAGTCCGATTTGTTGGAATTTGCGATCATATTTATAAACATGATTCATAATCTTTTCATAATTTTCATCAGTTATCTTTTCATAAACGTAATTTTGTAAATCAGCAACTCTTAACGGGTCAACCTGACAAAATACTAAAGTATCCCTGAAAACATAATATTTAAGAATGATATCACCAAATGATTTAGGATAATCATCGAACGCCTGAAATGCTAACAAATCATTTATCGGAATAATCATATCAAAAATGACATCAACTTCTTCATTTGCTTTCTTGAAAACTTCTGAAGGGTCAACATATTTACCACATACTGAGTTATCATATTTTTGAACATTATTATATAACGAATGAACAAACTTTTTAACTTTCCTTTCTGATTTTGGTTTATATGTTGCAAATGCGAAAGATTCACGGGCGCAATCCATCTGAAGATAACCGACATCACCTCTTTCACTTTCTGCTTCTAATTGTTTAAAGCTTTGATTTGATGATTTGTAACCAACGAATAAACGCATGCATTTAAAAGCGGCATCACATGTGAAAGCTTTATTTGAAACTAGAGTTGCTTTAACTTTGCGTTTAATATATGTGTCACCTAATTGGTTCACATCATGAGCCGGATTTGTAATTCTTAAATGAGTTTGTTTATCATCAAAATATGGAGCATCAGAGTCATAGCATGAACTTTCAAGTTCTCTATAATATCTTCTTCCATCATTCTTTGCGAATATTTCATTTATCTTTTCGAATGAATGAAATACATTTCCATTAATCGGTTTAGTGTTTGGCACTAAATAGTTAGTCGTCATTTATTATTAAATAAAAAATCAAAATTAAAAGATGAAAATGAATTTTTAATTTTAATGAAATAATCAACTATGGCTGCAGGATTCTTTAAGAAACTGTGGGATAAAGTAAAAAGAGGAGCGCATAAAGTTTGGGAAGGGATTAAGAAAGGAGCAAATTGGATATTTAAGAATAAAGAAGCAATTAGTGACGTTGCTGAACAAATAGCACCTAATGTTCCGGTAAGGGAAGTATTAAATAAAGGAGATAAGGTTTATCGTCGACTACAACCGATACTAAGATAAAAATAATATTTATTTATTTTTCCACTATCTACCCCCTATTTTATTAAGTATTCCTTCAGCAATTCCACCAACTGCGTTACCTGCTTGTGCTCCCATCGCCGGATTACCTGCTTTAGCACCTAATACTCCTCCTATGATAGTTCCTGCCGTTTTCGCTACTGGTGCCAAAAAGTTTGCAACGGGTTTAATAATCTTTTGATGAACCCAACTTGCAGCTTTCTTAATTCCTTCCCATAATTTTTTAAAGAATCCTGCCGCCATCTCTGATTTAATATTAATTAAAAAATATATTTCATCACTTATATTCTAATTTTTATTTAATGATAAATGAAACCGATTTTAAAAATAAATGAAACAGAGGAGGAAGAAATAAATGAAAGTGAAAATGTTCAACAAAAAATAAACGTTGTTAAACCAATTACTGAAATAAAAATTTTTTCATCTGTTGATGAATTTAATGACTATTATGCTAATAATAAAAAATTATTTGAAGAATTGACAACATGTAAATTGAATAAAATGTTTAAAGTTGAGGACAGAGTCCAAGACCCGGAGGGTCATGGATTCAAAATTTCAAAAATAAAAGGTGTTGTTAGTTTAAAATCTATTCCTCAATCAAGAATCACCTCATTAATGAAAATTGATGATTTAACAAAAAGAATAGAAATTATTGAAGAGCGAATAAATCAAATTATTGATTTCATAAATCATGACTCGTTGAGCCCGGGTCCTTAAAGTCCATCACTGAGTTCAAGGTTATATTCATCAAATATTTCATTATTAAATGCAACTTCTGCTAGTTTATTTATTTTTTCAATACGATCATTTGAAAGTCTATCGTTTAATTTTTTGAAGTTTTTCATTTTCTAGTTCTGAAACTTTATTTGGATGATATTTAAACCCGTTAAATTCTTTTCCTCAGTTTTGATCATTAATTTACAAAGAACTTTTGTGGTTGGAATTCGTTTAAACCATTTATCATTAATATTTGTTATAAATTCAATATCTGGAATTAATTCCCAAATTTTTGCATTTTCAATTAATTTATTATCAAATGCAAAAGCAATAGGTTTTAATATTAAACTTACCTTTATAATATATACTTTCTACATAATCATCGAAATAAACATCTACTTGTTTAACATTTTCAAGAATTGGTGAAAGAACATCCATTAATTGATTGACGGTTACGAATCTTGATCCACTCATTTTCATACGAATTAAAAATAAATTATTCAAAAATGTAAGACATGAATTTTTAAAGTTTATTTTTCATTCATGAATGATAATTATATCTGATTTCTTTTACTCTCTCATACATACTAGATTTGAAGAATTCGGAACTTTTACCATAATCTCCTAAATGTTTTCTTATCCCCAACGTGTGCCAGTTATTATATGAAACTGAATAAACTTTATCTTATCTTTACACCTTTCATCACTTCCAATATATTTATATCTCAGTTTTGATTTAGCATTTTCATATTCATTAACGTTTAATAATTCACAGTCTTCCTTTTAAATTGATGTTTAAGATATTCAGGATTTAATACTCTACGTTTATATGCTCCTAACTTAGTTCTAAAGGTTTTTCTACAAAATTTAGGAATTCCATCCTCTTTAATGTCATCAATGATTTCCATTTCGTTATTTTCAATTTCTTCTTCTCGTTTATGAGGTCTTTGATTATGACTCCATTGATTCCATGAAATTAAATATTCTTTATCATTATATTTATACATCATTAGCTTATTTTGGCTTTCATATTCATTTAATAATTCACAATCTTCATTTTTAAATTGAAGTTTAACCCATTCAGGATTTAAACAATGTTTAATTAATCGCGGAATATCTGACATCATCTATATATAGCTTCTTTTATAAAAGATAAAAAAATAAATTATTTTAAAATTAATGTTAATTTTTTAATGATTTATAAATAAATATATTTTAATGCATCGTCTATATATAGATGTAACAAAAAAAGTCACTAAACCCGCACTCATCTACTACTCAAGTTATTTTTTCTGGATAAGATATTATATGGATAATTGGATAGAAAATACAATTCTATAATCTTGTACCTGGTTTAATTAAGCTAATTGTCATCAGAAACTTGTAATTTTTATGAATTTCAGATTTTCTTTTCATTACTGCTTTTCTTAATAGGTCAAGTTCTTATTTACGTTATAAAGTATGATATTTACAAATATCAAGTTATCGTGTTTTTTGAGAAATTATGAGAAACAAACAAAAATGAAAAAGATAGGAATAGCAATGAATAGTGATGTGGGTATAGAAAATGTAAGAGATATGAATGCAAAGCAATCAGTATTTAGGACATTGACCATAGATTTCGAAAAAAAAATGCTGCATATTGAGCGAAAACTATGATTATATTATAAGGATGTCATTTAAAGCATAATGAAACTATTCCCTTTTCATTTTAATCGAATAAGATAGTAAAGATTTTTGAATTAGCTAGAAACTGATGAGATGTTTTCACAAATCAGATTTTTAATCTCTATAATGCATAATTCACTCAATATCTCAATTTTGATATTGCGAGATATTTTTGCTATCGGTTTCGCAATTTTGACACAATAGCAAGAGGGTTCTATAAGCATTATTATCAACGTAGAATCTGAATATCATATCAGAACATGTCGCAAATCTGACATTTACCCGACCAAATAGCAAAAATAATTGAATACTTTTCGCAAAAACTTTAAAAATCGATAAAAATATGAAATATAGATATTAAAGAGACTTTTTATATAATATTCATAAAGATTTTCCAAAAATATGATACCGCAAAATTAAAAAAGTAACGTCTTGAGTGGAGTCAAAGGTCGAAATTGCTAGCTAAATGTTTTTTTAGCGAAATTGCGTATTGTACGTTTTTTTCGCAAAACGAAACCCTTACATGATCAATTGATTTTTTCAAAAGATTTTGAGTACAGAGACTTAATTAAAAATACATCTAGATAACATATATAACAAAAATTTTTATTTAAAGTTCAAACGATATCTTTCAATTTGTTTTTCAATCTATTGCTCTTTTTTTTTTCTCTCCAATGACTCAAAAACCTAAGCTCGATAGATATGGATACAGTGTTAAAGGCGAAACAGTTGCGTCCAAGAAAGAGCAAGAGATGGCTGCATTTGACTCTAGGAAAGAATCAGAGAGAGAATTGAAATGGCAAAGAATGTTCTTAACTAATGATTTTTCAAAGCTAGAAACTCGATTAATGAAAGGAATACCAGATACTTATAGAGGTGAAGTCTGGAAACGACTTATTTGCAAAGACTGTTTAGATCCATTAAAGGTTTCTGAATGGCCAACAGTTGAATCACTAATTCCAAATATTTCAGAAGACAAGTGGGTAGATGAATATGAATGCTGGAGTACAATTGAATTAGATCTGGATCGAACGATGCCAGATTGCGCAATGTTTTCAAGCGATATAACTAGAAACTCATTAAGAAACATACTTAGAGCCTACTCTCTATTAGATAAAGAGCTAGGCTACACTCAAGGAATGGCTTTTCACGCAGCTATGCTTTTGTCTTACATGGATGAGAAATGTGCATATGCATGCTTCAAGGAGATGATGATGTCTCCCAATTTCGGACTTCGAAATTATTTTTTACCAGGATTTCCTCGTTTAAATGAAATCTCGAAACTTTGGAAAATCGTGTTTGAAAGACAATACAAGAAAATATATCAGCGCTTTGAAAAACTTGGAATAATCCACTTTATGTACTTACCTCAGTGGTTTTTATCGGCTTTTATGAATCAGTCATTTTCACCAATTTTACGCATGAGCATATACGACAGATTCATTGCCCACAAAGGACAAGCTCTACTTTCATTCGGACTCGTTATAATTTCAAGGCATAAGGATTTCTTTATGAAAGAACAGATGGAATCAATTCTACCGGTTCTCCAGCATCCTTACATTTCAGAAAAAATGCGTGATTGGCGCTATTTGATGAAAAAATATGATCAACATTGGATTGACGAACGTACTTACAGGAGACTCTTTGCAAAAGCTGGTTTGGAGTATTTCCCGTGAGTTTAGGCTATGAAATCAACAAAAATACTTAATTTATAATATTTATTCAAAAAAGACTCAAAATTACATGCTGCTACTATTACCATGCCGTTAGATCAACAGTTATAAGACTAATTATCAATGATTTCTAATCCGATCAAAAAAATTATTTTTTTTTGAGTATTTTTTTTTCAACCAAAAATTTATTCAATCCAAAAGCTAGTTATATTATGAAGATCATGATTTTCTCATTATTTTGATCCGAAAACACCGAAATTTTTTAATCATAATTTTTTTTCAGAGAAGTCAAATAAGTAGTTGCATTTATATATTAACATTTGCATGGTTTATATAGATTCATCAACGATTCTTTATCCTTTTCGATCATTCCATATTTTCGATCGAATTTTTTATATTATTTGATTACAGCTGGCATGAAGACGAATTATTCATCTTCTAACAGCCATTTTTGCTTTTTATTTGTTTATTGTTTTAAATGTTTTTGTATTTTATTTTAAGGGTGCACACGAGAGGATCATGTAAACTTCAGAATTTAGAACCTTATTTTTAGGCATTATCTTGGCTACCTATTTAGGCTCGAAAAGCAAAAAATATCAAAAAATACAACTTGAGTCCATTATGACCCTTTCATGGAGGTAGTTTTTATCCGCTAGTATTTTCCCTTTGAATCTCTTTACAATTCGAAATCAAATTCAAAACTCAGTAGAAGAAAGGAAGAATCGACTTACTACGGTTGTAATACGAATAAATACATATATTTAATTATTTTTATTTACATAATAATTGTTTGAAGCTCATATTCCATCAAATTTTTAAATAAAAACATTAAAATGTTGAAAATGTTCATATATTTTAATAGGGTTTTGGCACTTTATTGAGGAATTACTACATACATAGTCGAACTGAACTTGATATTTTGAAATTTAAATTATTTATCAAAATTAATTTAACTTGAAATTTATAATTATTTAGTCATATTTTGCATAATTCTAAGTAGATTTTGTAAAAAATCAAGAAAGAAAAATTTTAACGTGCTTTATTTTTTCTTTTTTATAATAATACATATTATTATATAATTAACATATTCATAATGTTTCACCCTTTCAAAAATATAATCCTCCTCCTCTCAAATAAACGTACATACGGGTGGCCTCTTTTTTCAAAAAATTAAAATTTGAAATTTTGGGCTCAAATATTAGAGATTTTTTCAACCTTCAACGATATATGTTGTCTATATCAGACCTCCTTTCTTTTTGATACTTAACATTGTTCCTAAATCTTAGCCGTTAAGGCTGTTCTGAAAATATTTTTTTTCGAAAAAATTCGAAAAAAATTCTTAAAATTCAAAAATCCCTTAATTCCTGAGGATTTTGAGAAAAAGTTTTTACATGAACATGTGTATATTATATGAAGTATATTGATAAGGTAAAAATCAAATTTTATTGCATATTCATCGAGAAAATAAACTAACGAATCCCTCAAAATTGAGAGGGTAATCCTCCTCCTCTCAAATAAACGTACATACGGGTGCACCCTTAATTTTCTTATTTTTGACATGATAATTAATGGAAACTTACAAACCAGTTCATATAATATCTATTGTCGCTGAGAAGAAGGAATTTTTATCGTGTATATAATTTTTTCAATAATTTTACTTCTTTTCACTATCATTCAAACGAAAAGAAAATCACATTCAGATATAATATCATATGGGATGTATTAACAGTCATATCGAGTATATATTGACCATATTTTGAAAAATTACAAGATCATATTGCACCACAAATCAAAATGGCTTTTACGCTGATGCAGACAAGATTTAGGTCATTGAAATAAAGGATTAATTGACAGTTTTTCCCTGATTATTTGAATGAATATCATCATGAATATGATTTTTGATATATTTCTATACAACAAGATGCACTATGACGACTCACATCTCCATCAAAACTAATCAACTTCTCAAAGACCTAATGGATGATTTCTGAAATCTTTACAAAAAGAGTGGATTTTTGGCATAATTAAGTCATTTCTGAACAGAAGACACACCTGATAGTTTCCATCGGCCATACTGCCTCACATATACAAGCATATTATTCTTATAACTCATTGACTCCTTAGATAACCATCTCGTCTGGACAATCACCATAATTTGCTTTAGATTTCTATGCCAAAGACAAAACTATTACAAAAAACACACCGAGAGATAGTATACATAAAACTTTTCCAAATATTGATCGACCATTTATGGCTAATGCTCAGATTTTTCGTTTCGCTTTTAAAAGCGCATCGATTCAAAGAAATCATTAGCAGATCCACATATGCCACTAAAATAAGTAATAAAATACTTGAAGAAGCCAAAAAGAATTTTCAATTGCCAAACTCAATTTATTGTTCCGTTCTTCAGCATAAATTGATTCTTAAACAGCCTAAATCTTCCGAATAAACATATACTTGCCATATTTGGCCTGATTTTTATGAATGAATATATGTCTCGTTTTGTATTCTTGTTTTAAAACATAAAATATACGATTTTCCATAATTATTGTTTAATGCTTTAAATAGTGCGACGTGCAACAAAGTCCGAAATCTTGGAGAGGAGAATCAAATTTGGAAATTTTGTGGAACCTTTTCAAAAATGCGACTAAACAAATTACAATACTAATACTCATAAATAACTGTGCCTAAATTCCTAGCACGGTGCAATTTTATGCATGTTGCCAGTAAAAGTGAAATCATAGAAATTGAACGGATTTGACGGCTCTTGACACTTTTATTTGTTCGCATGACCGAAGAAGCCCCAGTTCTCCCAGTTAAAGTAGGAATCAAGCAGTCACAGTGGAACTCTGTTGACGTCGGATCCAATGCCATCGAGGTTCCAGAAAACACCAAGTTTGCAAAGAAGAAGAAAAACGTATATTACGAGGACGACAACTCAGATGAACGCCAGCTTCTTCGCTTAGCCAGAATGCAGGAAAGATACGAGAAAAAGGTCGCTGCAGAGAGATCTGTATCTCCATCCAAGAAGCAGGAGACTCCAGTCGAACAAATCAGAGATGAAGCTGCTGAAGAGGTTAAGAAATCTACAAGCAAGAACAAATTCTCTGCTCTTATGGAAGAGGAAGATGAAGATGAAGCTCCAGCCCCAGTAGAGGAACCAAAGCCAGAGCCAAAGAAGGAAGAGAAGAAACCACAACAGAAGAAGGAAGAAAAGAAGCCACAACAGAAGAAGGAAGAAAAGAAGCCAGAGCCAAAGAAGGAAGAAAAGAAGCCAGAACCAAAGGTAGAAGAGAAGAAGAAGCCAGAGCCAAAGAAGGAAGAAAAGAAGGCTCCAGCTAAGAAAGCTACAAAGAAGGCTACAACACCAATTACCAAGAAGAAATCTACAAAGAAGACCTTCATGCAGAAGCATTCTTTCGATATCCTTCTTTTCCTGTTTATTGTTGTTGCTGGAGCAGCTCTTATCGCTCTCAATAAGAGTGGCGTTTTGGCTAAAAAGAACTAAGTCCCTGAGAAAACCAAGTCTATATATTGATATATATAACTTTTAATTAAAATATACAAGAGTTGGAAAATTACATTGCCACTTGCATTCTTTTTCTTAGGAATGTAAAAAAACAAACCATGGAATCGTCATTTGCAGAAATATTCATAAACAAATGAATTCTATTCCATCTGCTTTTTGTTTTTTTCAAAACACTCTGAATTTATTCATTTGTGAGTTCCATGATTTTATCAGGTTTTTGAGATCAAACTATTGTATAAGTCTTTAATAATGCAAAACCTTTAAATTTGAAACAAAATAAGATTGACCAAAATCTCTTTGAAAATTTTGTAACGTATATATGCATGAAATCTGAAGAATACAATCTAGCAGTCTGGAAAAATCATTTTTCAAGTAAAGATCGCTCAAAATAAATACGAAATCGTATCAAGAGAGTTTACATATCGTGTAGAAACGGCCATTATGATTATTATTATAATATTCAGCATTAGTAAACTATGTTTTACCATATAAAACTGCATTAAAACAAAAAATTTAATATAAAAATTCTCAGAAAGCAAAATACGATCAATTTAACTTGAAAAACAATTACAAATCTAATATTTAATGAGTTCTACGAACAATTAATTAATGATTTTTGAGATGATATCGGTACGATAACATTTTTCTTTGTTTTGATGAAAGAAAATCAAATGATTTCAATGTACAACTTCTCCTATCTACGGTTCATTAACAAAAATCATAGTTTTGACATAATATGAAAAAAGCTTGACAAAAACGGGCCAAAAGCTATTCAAATCTATATAATATGAGAAGTTATTACTTCTGGTTCTTCCTTTTGTACAGATCCCAAACAGCAATTCCTCTATCATCGCCAGCACTTGCGAAAATATCGTTTTCGGCGAAAGCGACAGTATGAATACCTCCACGGTGATGTTTTAATACAGCAAGTGGAGTCTTCTTCTTTGCATCAAACAATCTGACTCTTCCATCCCATCCAGAAAGGGCCCAGATGCGGCCATCACTACGAACAGCGATATCATCGATGCCTGCGTGTGGCATTTCGTAAAAAGATTCATGAGAGGATGGAGTTACATCGTAAACACTTTTTTCGCTTCCTCCTACGAGACAACGCTCTTCTCCAAGCATGCAAATGGAAACTGATGGATCAGTACGACCTAATGTTGCTGTCCAAACAGGTTCAATCGAGTTTCGATTGTCGATAACAATGACATTTGAATCTTCAAGGCAAACACCAATATAATTATCGTAATATGATATATCCATGATCATACCATGGTCTTTGAGTGTAGAAATAGGGAACCAATTCGAAGAATTCATATCATAAATACAAATTTTCGCATTGAATGCATCTGCGAAGTAAATATCAGTATCATGAAGTCTGCAACCAGCAAAACCATGTGATTGATCTGTGGCTACTTCAGTTATTTGCTTCATTGTGTTAATATCGTAAATTAAAAGTCTTCCAAGTCGACTATTTGCGCAAATAATGTTATCGTTGGCACAAGCACGCAACAAACCATCATCCCCTTCTTTGAATTTGCTTAAAATGTTTTCAACACGTCGAGTTTCTAAATTCCAAACAAATAATTCATTTCCTGTTGATGTTGAAATGAGTTTTCCTTTGTGAAAACATACAGATGTAACGGATTGTTGATGTGCACGAAGAACAGTAATTGGTGGAGGTGGTTCCATACAAAATGAATTTTTATATTTTTTGATTCGATTATATTCTTCTCAATTTTAGATTTGAATTTTTCGGCCAAGATTATTTGCTGAATAAATTATTAAACATTAACAGCCATCGAGTACCCTCCTAAATTCTCTATTAAATAAGTTTATTTTTCATATTTTTTGAATAAATGCATTTGGAAAATCAGGAAAATAATCGAAAAAATCATGAAATTAATCCATACGAAAACAAACCTTATTCAACAGAGTATTACAGAATACTTGAAACTCGTAAAAAACTTCCGGTTTACGAATACAAAGATCAAATTTTAAAAATCGTTAGAGAAAGTAATGTTTGCATTATCGAGGGTAATACAGGATCAGGTAAAACAACTCAAATACCACAATTTATACTTGAATCAGGAATTTTAAATCCAAAACAATCAATGATTTGCTCTCAGCCAAGAAGAGTCGCTGCAATCAATGTAGCAACTCGTGTTTCAGCAGAACTAGACTGCAAACTTGGTGGGATTGTTGGTTACAACGTAAGATTTGACAAATGCATTTCGGATCAAACAAAATTAATTTATATGACAGATGGACTTCTTCTTAGAGAGTTTCTTCTCGATCCGTACCTAAGAAATTATGGAGTTATCATCATAGATGAAGCACATGAAAGAACAATAAATACAGACATCATTCTTGGCCTTTTACATCAAGCTTTATCGCATAGAAAAGATTTAAAGCTTATTGTTATGTCTGCCACTCTAGAAGCAACTAAATTTACAAAGTTTTTCACAATAAATGAAAAAATTCCTCCTCATCTATCTATTCCTGGCCGATTACACCCAGTTACAATTGAATATGAGACTGTGAAGGTTGACAATTACGTAGAAAAAGCCATTGAAAAAGCAATTTTTATTCATGAAAAAGAAGGATCAGGCGATATTTTGATATTTTTGACTGGTGAAGATGAAATTGAGCATTGCTGCAGTGTATTGAGATCAAAGCTTAAACCAGAACTAGCTACAGGAGCGAGAATTTCCGAAATTAAAGTATTTCCTTTATATTCTTCTTTGCCATTGATAGAACAGACAAAAGTTTTTGTTCCTCCATCGGAATCAGTGCGAAAGGTGATTGTTGCAACCAATATTGCTGAAACATCATTGACAATTGATGGAATTGTCTTTGTAATTGACTCAGGATTGGTCAAACAAACGATGTACGTACCGAAACGAAGAATGTCATCACTCCAAGTAACTAATGTCTCACGAGCAAGCTCTATTCAACGTTCAGGACGTGCTGGAAGAACAAGGCCAGGAAAATGCTTCAGATTATACACCGAAAAAGATTTTAATGAAGTTCTTCCCGACCAAACGGAGCCAGAGATCAGTCGCAGCAATCTATCAAGTGTTCTCTTGCTCATGCTTGCAGTCGGCATCAAGGATATTCCAGGATTTCCTTTCATCGACATGCCGCACAGACATTTAATTCGTGCGGCCATCGAGGAACTTCACTTTTTGGGCGCTGTTGACAGTAATTGTCAATTGACTGATATCGGGCGCTTGATGTCCCAATTCCCTTTGGAACCAGGATTAAGTCGTGCATTGATACAAGCTAAAGATTTCGGATGCAACAAAGAAGTTGCAGCTTTAGTTTCTTTGCTTTCTGAACAAGGACAAGTGTTTTTGAGGCCAAAGAAGGATCTCGAACGGGCATTGCAAATGCAGATGCAGTTCAAGAACCAAACAAGTGACCACATAACATTGTTAACTGCGTTTGAAGCTTTTACAATTTTCAAAAGTGAAAAATTTTGTAATGAAAATTTTCTGAATTTTCGGACATTGGAAAGTGCATTGAAATCTCAAGGACAGCTAATAGAGATGATGCAGAAAATGAATATTCCTGTTGTGTCCGCATCAAGGATTAATCCAAATAGAAACAAACTAATTTTACAATCACTTTTGACTGGATTGTTTACAAATGTTGCTTTTTATGATAAGTCAGGATATTTGTTTTCTGAGTGTTTGGAGGCAGCACCAATACACAGAGCTTCCTGCTTATGGGGAAAGACTCCGAAATGGGTTCTGTTCTCAGAATATGTGTTCACTGATAAAGGATACATAAGAACTGTCTCCGAAATCGATGAAAGTTGGATTGTTCCATCAAGTGAAGAATACTTTGAGTCAAGTAGATTCAAAGGACGTCCTGTTCAACAGATGTTTGCTAACTTATATCAGAAATACGCTAAAAAGCAAGGAAAATAATATATTTTTATCATGATAAAACTTTGTTGTTTGCTTTTTTTTTAAATTCTCAATATTATTTGCTCATATTCTTTGTAATGTAATAAACAGAAATTCATCAAAAGTGACAGCTCTCAATTTTTTGACATTTGTAAATTCTAAATTGAATGAGAAAAATGAAATAATACTAAGCATAATACAATATTCTAGATTTAATTATAATTAGGAAAAAGTTAGTTTTGTGAGTACTTTTCATAGGCATATAGAATGAAATCTTCTGAAAAATAATATCACATAAACTCATATTATTTTCTAATATATAACTATTTTATATAAAAATCAAATTTAATGATCTTAAAAGCGAAGGATAAACCTCAAAATTTACGAATATAATGAGTGGGAATAGGCGTAAAGCAAAAATTGATATTTCATATGGTTTTATGATAGATAAGCATTATATTCCCACTCATTATATTCGTAAATTTTGAGGTTTATCCTTCGCTTTTAAGATCATTAAATTTGATTTTTATATAAAATAGTTATATATTAGAAAATAATATGAGTTTATGTGATATTATTTTTCAGAAGATTTTGTGTTCTTCTTCAAAATTTTATTTTTTTATTAAAAAGAATCTTTACAAAATATACATTTACTGTAATTAATATTTAAAAACGTGCTCTATCAAAAGTTCCAAAAATTCAATATTTTAGCTTTTCTGAGGTGTCACTTTTTATTAAAAAGAATCTTTACAAAATATACATTTACTGTAATTAATATTTAAAAACGTGCTGGTTAATATCCTTCATTCATAAATTTATAACCAGCACGCATGATTTTGTTATTGAGACCAAAAGTGTCACATCTAAAATTTTTACAAAGCATGACAAGTTCAGAGCAGCCAAAAAACGAAAATTTTTGCAGTTACAGTGACCTTAAGCCAATTAAAGTATTCGAATACCCAGATCAAGCATCAAAAATTATTTGGGGCGTCAATTCCAATAATATTATAGAAATATCTTCACAAATTATCGAATTAATAGCAAATCACAAAATAACTATCCAAATGACGCTTTGTTTGATTAATATTTTTTCACAAATTCGTGTTAAAGAAATTAAATTATTTTCGGAACTTTATCAAAAGATATCAAACGCATTTTCATACATATATAAACCGAAAAATAAGAAATTAGCGACGCTTCTACATTATCAAGGTTTCAAATTCAAAAATTTCAATCCTGAATGGGAAGAAGAACAAATTCTTAATTTGTATTCAACAGAATCTCCTTTATACTATATTGCATGGGATAAAGTTGATAAACTTAAGAGTAAATTCCCAAATCTTGATATTAATAAGGAAATAGATTATTATATCACCCCACTTGACTGTGCAATTAGATATGGATCAGAATTGTGTTTCAATTACTTGAAAAATTTAGGAGCTGAATACACAAAATACTCCGAAAAATATGCTGTTAAAGGCGGAAATAATGACATTTTTATGCAAATGATAGAAGATGGTAAATCATTTGATAACATGATTAATATAGCATTGGATTATCGAAACTATGAAATTGCCGAGTATCTTAAATCAAATTTTGGACAAACTCCTGATTCAATAGCAGAAAGTATGTATTTCGGAAATTATGATGTTGCATCTTATTTACTAACTAATGAAGGAGATATCAACAAAATTTATAATCTCTTTCTTTTCATATTTATCATTGTTTTATATCATTCTCTTTCATTTCATATTTAACATTGTTTTATTACATTCTCTTTCATTTCATATTTAACATTGTTTTATAAGATTCTCTTCCATTTCATATTTAACATTGTTTTATTACATTCTCTTTCTTTTCATATTTATCATTGTTTTATAAGATTCTCTTTCATTTCATATTTAACATTGTTTTATTACATTCTCTTTCATTTCATATTTAACATTGTTTTATAAGATTCTCTTCCATTTCATATTTAACATTGTTTTATTACATTCTCTTTCTTTTCATATTTATCATTGTTTTATACCATTCTCTTTCATTTCATATTTATCATTGTTTTATGAAATTCTCTTTCTTTTCATATTTATCATTGTTTCATTACTTTATCTTTCTTTTCATATATATTATCATTTTATGAGATTCTCAATCTTTTCATATTTATCATAATTTTATCAAATTCTTTGGATATTAATGAATGCCCTCTTAGTATTGCAATCAAATCGCAATCAATAGAAATTGTCCAATTCCTAGTGGAGCATGGTGCAGATGTTAACATGAAACTTATTCTCTTTCATTTCATATTTAACATTGTTTTATGAGATTCTCTTTCTTTTGATATTTATCATTGTTTTATATGATTCTCTTCCATTTCATATTTATCATTGTTTTATTACATTCTCTTTCTTTTCATATTTATCATTGTTTTATATCATTCTCTTTCATTTCATATTTATCATTGTTTTATGAAATTCTCTTTCTTTTCATATTTAACATTGTTTTATATCATTCTCTTTCTTTTCATATTTATCATTGTTTTATGACATTCTCTTTCATTTCATATTTAACATTGTTTTATAAGATTCTCTTCCATTTCATATTTAACATTGTTTTATGACATTCTCTTTCATTTCATATTTAACATTGTTTTATATCATTCTCTTTCTTTTCATATCTATCATTGTTTTATACCATTCTCTTTCATTTCATATTTATCATTGTTTTATATCATTCTCTTTCTTTTCATATCTATCATTATTTTATAACATTCTCTTTCTTTTCATATTTATCATTGTTTTATAGAATTCTCTTTCTCTTCATATTTATCATTGTTTTATAACATTATTTTTCTCTTCATATTTATCATAATTTTATCAAATTCTTTGGATATTAATGAATGCCCTCTTAGTATTGCAATCAAATCGCAATCAATAGAAATTGTCCAATTCCTAGTGGAGCATGGTGCAGATGTTAACATGAAACTTATTCTCTTTCATTTCATATTTAACATTGTTTTATGAGATTCTCTTTGATTTCATATCTATCATTGTTTTATATCATTCTCTTTCATTTCATATTTAACATTGTTTTATGAGATTCTCTTTCATTTCATATTTATCATTATTTTATATCATTCTCTTTCATTTCATATCTATCATTGTTTTATAACATTCTCTTTCATTTCATATTTAACATTGTTTTATATCATTCTCTTTCATTTCATATTTATCATTGTTTTATAAGATTCTCTTTCATTTCATATTTAACATTGTTTTATAAGATTCTCTTCCATTTCATATTTAACATTGTTTTATACCATTCTCTTTCATTTCATATTTATCATTGTTTTATGAAATTCTCTTTCTTTTCATATTTATCATTGTTTTATATCATTCTCTTTCATTTCATATTTATCATTGTTTTATAACATTATTTTTCTCTTCATATTTATCATAATTTTATCAAATTCTTTGGATATTAATGAATGCCCTCTTAGTATTGCAATCAAATCGCAATCAATAGAAATTGTCCAATTCCTAGTGGAGCATGGTGCAGATGTTAACATGAAACTTATTCTCTTTCATTTCATATTTAACATTGTTTTATTACATTCTGTTTCATTTCATATTTATCATTGTTTTATAAGATTCTCTTTCATTTCATATTTAACATTGTTTTATGAGATTCTCTTTCATTTCATATTTATCATTATTTTATATCATTCTCTTTCATTTCATATCTATCATTGTTTTATTACATTCTGTTTCATTTCATATTTATCATTGTTTTATAAGATTCTCTTCCATTTCATATTTATCATTGTTTTATTACATTCTCTTTCATTTCATATTTAACATTGTTTTATGAGATTCTCTTTCATTTCATATTTATCATTATTTTATACCATTCTCTTTCATTTCATATTTATCATTGTTTTATGAAATTCTCTTTCTTTTCATATTTATCATTGTTTTATATCATTCTCTTTCTTTTCATATTTATCATTGTTTTATGACATTCTCTTTCATTTCATATTTAACATTGTTTTATACCATTCTCTTTCTTTTCATATCTATCATAATTTTATCAAATTCTTTGGATATTAATGAATGCCCTCTTAGTATTGCAATCAAATCGCAATCAATAGAAATTGTCCAATTCCTAGTGGAGCATGGTGCAGATGTTAACATGAAACTTATTCTCTTTCATTTCATATTTATCATTGTTTTATAACATTCTCTTTCATTTCATATTTATCATTGTTTTATGAAATTCTCTTTCTTTTCATATTTATCATTGTTTTATAACATTCTCTTTCATTTCATATTTATCATTGTTTTATGAAATTCTCTTTCTTTTCATATTTAACATTGTTTTATATCATTCTCTTTCTTTTCATATTTATCATTGTTTTATATCATTCTCTTTCATTTCATATTTAACATTGTTTTATGAGATTCTCTTTCTTTTCATATTTATCATTGTTTTATAAGATTCTCTTTCATTTCATATTTATCATTGTTTTATAACATTCTCTTTCATTTCATATTTATCATTGTTTTATGAAATTCTCTTTCTTTTCATATTTATCATTGTTTTATACCATTCTCTTCCATTTCATATTTAACATTGTTTTATAACATTCTCTTTCTTTTCATATTTATCATTGTTTTATTACATTCTCTTTCTTTTCATATTTATCATTGTTTTATACCATTCTCTTTCTTTTCATATTTATCATTGTTTTATATCATTCTCTTTCATTTCATATTTATCATTGTTTTATATCATTCTCTTTCTTTTCATATCTATCATTGTTTTATAGAATTCTCTTTCTCTTCATATTTATCATTGTTTTATAACATTATTTTTCTCTTCATATTTATCATAATTTTATCAAATTCTTTGGATATTAATGAATGCCCTCTTAGTATTGCAATCAAATCGCAATCAATAGAAATTGTCCAATTCCTAGTGGAGCATGGTGCAGATGTTAACATGAAACTTATTCTCTTTCATTT